ATGGTTTTCTTACTATAAAAAAATGGCTTAATTCATGGTAGTTTCTACCATGTGTGGACAAAAATAAGTTGAGACTTAAAAAGCCAAACCTACAAACAAACCCCTTTACATTAATGTGTCAGGTGCTTATGGGTATCTGCTGTCCTACACTGATAACATAAATTAACATTCCTGCTTATCTCTCCGCATATCTAATTTCCTTATAAAGAAAGTACACAAAAGAATTTTGACAGATATTTTGTGCAGTGAAAAGTTTTAAAGGACAGTTATGATACGAGTTTGTGAGAAGTAAAATTAGATGAAGATTGAAATTTCAATTAATAGCAATTGCCTAATGACCAGTAATTCTAAACGAGGCCAATTTTATTTGACTTTTCCAGACAACTGCTCTTTGACTTTACCAATTCTCAGATAAAATCAATTCTGTTGGCCAAAGTCAAAGGTGGTGGCTAAATTAGAGCTTAGTTTGCAGCCCCAACTATGAACAGGCTGCTGTCTGTCTGTAATTACTCTAAGAGGATTGTGCCACATTTAGTAACAGTTAATTCTGTTGACATGTACATGATTTTTGTAATTTTTTTTTATTTTAGTAGTGCGTTGGAGTTCTGTTTGTTGAAGTTTTTTGTAAGGTTTCATTTGGCTTGTGGGATGGAGATTGGAAAATGTTTGGAGTTAAAATGTGTGATACCCCTGCAGGGCAGAGTGTGCCTGTGGTGTGGCACAGGGAGAGCAGCTCACTCTGCTCTTTGCAGGGTTGGTTGGTGTTGTGCTCTGCTCTCAAAGTTTTGGTGACCACCCTTCTTCAGTAGTTCTTCAAGGTAAAATCTTGTAGGCAGAGATGCTCTAATGAAGGCAACACTCAAGCATCACAGTTGATACCTTATTTCCTTTCCCTGTATTTTGTATTCCATTTGTATGTATTCCTTTGCACTCCATTCCAAGCACACTGTTCAAAAGGGAAATAATGAGTTGTTGGGTAATCTCTCCATGTTGCATCTCCATGTTGCCCCTGAAGTTTGCAAAGGTCGTGCTTGTCACTGAGCTGCCTGGGGCAGGAATTTCTTAGCTGTCACAGGAAGGCAGGTAGTAAATGACATTTTACTATATATGCAAACACATCCATATAAAACTGAAGATTCTTTTCCCCCATAAATGTGTTGAATAGAATAATGTCTATAGTATCTTTGCCCTTTATCCCTTTAATTCAGCTTCTTTTGTATTGTTGGGGGGGGGGTTGGATTTTTTAAGAAAAGAAAAAAAAGAGAGACTGACCATCTGAAGTTAAGGGTTTAAATGTCCTTTCACTTTTACTATCTATAACACTTACAATAGATGACATTGGAGAATAATTTTATGGAGTTTACAGTCAGTTTGGCATAATAAATGAAATAAAAGAAGATGTAAAAAGAGATCTAAGCAAGAGTTGCATAGCCTGCAGGGGAAAATGAGTTTCTCTTTTCAAAAAACAAAGTTATTAAGAGATTGGGTATGGTCATTACAACTCGCTAAATAAAGTGACTTATTGAGGGGACAAACAGCAAAAGGAAAACATTCATTTGAAAAGGGAAGGTATGGAAGATACGTAAAGAGTGACAAAAAAGAAGTGAACGGGGTAGAATGAGTCTCCTGAATTGCAGGAGACCTGCAGACTCTGAGGTGTTTGGCTGAAGAATATCTACCTTTGTCATACCTGAGTTAGTGGCTTAGTTCCTCTGGTTTTAAGGGTGAGTATGAATAGAATTATGGGAGAAAAAAATCCTCAGTGTAAGACCTGTAGAACTAGGGGAAGAGGAGAGAAGTATTTTTTGAGATATCTGCAGTTTGACGGGATGTGGGGGGATTTTTACACTGATTGTCACAAGGGGCACCACTTTCTCCTCTTAGAGGTGCCTTTGGAGGGAAAATGAAACTGAGTGTTCAAAGAGTGCTATTTTTCTGAAACATGAGTACCAGAAGTATGATTTCGTTTGAGGGTATTAAGTAATTTTTAACATAAGAAACCAGAAAGAAAAAAATGGGCAGTGGTGTGGCAGAGCCTAAACAGAACTTTAAACCAACATATTCCACCACTGGTGTTGGAGCAGGGTGGAAGGCACCATTCCTCCCCAAACATTTTCCTTCTTGTGTCTTCAGGTCTCCTTCAGAAGGCTCTCAGATAAATAGCTGCAGTAAGTTGGCATAAATGAAACTGTAGGATGGTTTTTTGGCCAAAAATTAAGAACTTGGATGCCTTCTACCATGCAAACTATTGGAGAAGCAACTGGAGCAGTAGGGGTAAATTTAAAAAGAAAAAAAGTGGATATCCCATCCCTGGAAGTGTTCAAGGCCAGGTTGGATGAGACTTTGAGCAACCCAGTCTAGTGAAAGGTGTCCTTGCCCGTGGCAGAGGGCTTGGAACTTTATGATCTTTAGATCATATAGACCTTCCAATCCAAACCATTTTATGATTCAGTGAACTTACAGAAAGGGGGAGACAATAAAATTGTCAAAGAACAAAGTGGTCACTGGAAGAACAGTGTTGTTTTGGGATGTTTGTGGTTGGTTGGCTTGGGGTGGGAGTTTTTTTGTTAATTTGTCCTTTTTTTTGGCCAACTGTTAGTTTGACAGGGCAATGTACAAGTTTTTATTTCTATTAGCAGGTTAGTGGATGCTACAATTGAAATGAGCATTTGTGTGGGGTTCTGTGTTTGTGAGGTGGATTCATTGACACAGTTGGGAAGGGGAAGAAGCTTTCTACCTTGTCCTTTTTAGCTGTCCCTGCAGTGTTGATAGGGCAGCACCAACGCACTTACTACGGCTGCTTCAGGCATGTCCTTTTGGCCTTTGTTTGCTGGTTGATGGCTCTGTTGTTTGGTAAAGTCACCCATCACTGCCCTCGTGCCCGAATTCAACGGTCCCTTCCTGTGGTGTTGCACTCTTGATGCTGCACCTGTGCTCCACCAGCTCAACACCCTCGTTTGAAAAGGATCCCAAAGAGGACAATGCTGTCCTCCCACGCTACTGCTGCCTCAGCTCAACCACTGCCTAAACCAGCACTCACTTTGTGAAGGGCTTGGTTTGTTACACCGTTTGTGTCCAGGCTCTTCCAGTGAAGCAAACGGATTATCTCCCAGTGCACTCCAAAAGCATGTATGCAGGAGTGAAGTTTACTGAAGGTCTGTGAACCATGAAGACGTGCCTTAGAGGTCTCAATGGGACATGTGAATGAGTAGAAAAACAAGTTAGAAACAAGGTATTAGGAAAACCTATTCAGTGCACGCAGTTGTTTCCCTGCAGTAGGGAGCACCTTCCCCTTCTCTTCTTGCAATCTTTTTCAAGTGTAGATCATTCATGTTAAATATATAGCTGGGAACATCTTGTGTTAAGTAGAGATATGAACCTGAACAGAAGAAGAGGTCAAGCGTGGAAATAAATTCCAGTCAGTACTGGATGATTGAGAAGTCCCTTTTCTCTCGCTCCCTCTTGTTTGGAGAGGCGGTGCTTGAATTCACTTCAGAAATGAGGAGGAGAAAAGTACAACTAGGGTTTCCTTTAAAGGAAAAAACCCAAACAAACAAACAACAACTTACTCTTTAAATTCACATTAACATCTGGGAGTGGGTGGCTCAACCCTGTAATCATCTACATTATCACATTACATTTTCCTGATCAGAATATGGAATATTAAGTGTTGTGAATGTGCACATCACACTTGAGTTTTTATATAAGTGTTCTTGCTGTTTAGGACACTAGCATTTGATGGGTAAACAAACTATTCGAAATAGTTTAATAAATCTTTATAGTTGGTACACTTAGTTCTGTGGACTGCCTTTGGAAAAGAAGATGGATTTCTCCATGAACTAAAGCCTCTTCCCAGTTCTCCAGTGCCTCAATGTACTTTGTGGTCACAGCAATGAGCACATTCTGGTTATCACTGAGTGGTTCAAAGATGCAGTGCGGGTGAGATGTGCCCCTTTCACAGACCACAATTCCACCGCAAGCTGTATTTAGCCATATTGTGTATGTGTTTGAAGGGGTTAGTAATAGATTATTGTTTTTCTTTTTTTTTCTTGGAAGTCATTGGAAAGCAAAAGACTAAATCTATTTTGATTTCACTTGGGATAGATTAATGGGTGTCAAGTGTTACATAATACTTGACATATCCACTGCTGTTAAGTTGGCCATGGCAAAGGGATTACCCGATAATGAATCACCAAGCTCTTTAGCTGTTTAAAGGGAATCCTGCCGCTTCCTTGCCCTGGTGGCACTCCCTTCCCTGCCCGGGACCTTCCTGTGACACTGCGTGTTCAGGTGTGGAAAACCCCACGCTGATGTGCAAGCACCGGTTTGACAGCTTTGTGTTCGCCTTCTACCTTGCTAATTGTTTTTGTGGGATTATTCAGATTGTGTAGAAAGCTTTTTCCAAATCCCCTTTATTACTGAAGTTATTGTTGCCAGCAGGAATAAGATTAAAGGTGCTTAAGTCTGTAGAGTTGTTTCTAATTTGTACGTGTCATTTCAGTGGCATTTGAACAGAACTCTGTCTCTTCCCCTCCCTTCTCCCCTGCGGTACTGTACTTGAGTTAGGGCTGAGAAGCCAAGCTATTGGAAGAAAATTCATTTTGTTCCCTAATTATTATGCTGGCACTCGGGAGATAATTTTTCCCTTCATGCACTGCCAATTAATATGCAAATGAGCTGATAAATATTTATACCGCGATTTAAATTATGCAGGGAGTGCTTTCAGTGTACTCTGCAAATGAATTGTTCATGGACTTCAAAGTGCTGGCTGCTGTGCTAACGAGAGGAGATTTGCATAAGGCCCTAATCAGGCGCATACTGATTAAGCTTCATTATGGAAACTGCCAGCTGCAATCTTTGTTTCTATTTTATTACAAAAAGGGGAACTTTTCACGCTTCAGTCGCCTTGACAATGTCAGACACAGCTAGTAGGAGAGACTAAAACTCCACACAGCAACTGAAGTTTCCCTGTTCAGTTGAAGATTGCTATGGTGTAACTGAAGTTGTATTTCTCCCCCCACCTCCCCACTCCCTTTCGTGTTCGGTCAGAGCAGTAGTGTAGATTTGATAGAAATTGCCATTCTCCCATTCCTTGGACTATCTGAACCTGTAGAGGAGACCACAGCAATGCTGGACTGCAGCGACTACGTTCTAGGTGGGTACCAGCTCAGCTCTTTCTTACGGACATGGATGCTGCGAGATTGACTATGCATAGAGGCTTAATCACATATGCAGAGGCTAGAGAGGGTATTTGGGAGGCTGGAGCTCACCAGTGAATCAGCAGCAAGTAGCTGCCTGGTAGATAGATAGCTAGATCTGTACCAGGGAAAATACATGGCTTGTTTTTTGTTGTTGTTGGTTTTTTTTCCCCTCCCTCCTTTCCCTTACTCCAGGAGAATTCGTTTCCTCTGCACAGATTTGGGTGATATTAATACAGACTTTTTGCTTTTAGGATTTCAATCTAAGAAGCATTTGGCTTATAACAAACACTGGACTTGACTTGCATATCCCTGTGTTATGAATTTTCAAGCATTAAAACAAATGAGAGGGGAGCCTCAGTCTCAAAGAATTTAGTAGCTGTATTGAGCCATTCCACAACAGAATGCATGTTATGTCTGTGTATTTTTAATATAGCGAGGTTCTTCGTGCGTAATAGAAAATAAGGTGGAGTGTGCAGTGGTTGCCATTGATACCGTTGCAAGCTGTGCTTAAGGTTACTGGGATAATATATTTCCTGCGCCGAGATTCCACCAGGACTGCAGAACAGATATGCCATAATTTCTTCTTCATGTCTTTTAAAACTATTTATAGCAATGGATCATCCCAATTTTACAATAGGTTTTATTTATTTTCAAGGCTTTTTCCGTAAAGCTCAATGTGTGTGTGTGTGTGTATGTATATATTTATTTATTATTCTTTTTGTTCCATCATACAAGTTCATGTAAGAACTTATATGTCAAAGAGAGAGAATATATTTTTGGATGGCAAATTTTGCAGCAGGCATCTGAATATGTTTGCTTCTGAATATGATGTGGGGTTTTTTAAAAATTAATTTCTAAAGAATTCTTGGCATGTTTTCGCTTACATTGTACTTGGGTTTTTCCATGCATATCAATGAATCATTTATTACTGGTGCTGATGGAGCATCAGGCAGTTTCACTTTGATGGGTGAAAGGAAACAGTTAATGGCAATATAACCTTGTTAAAATTTTCAGTGTTTTACCAGCTGTACAGTCCCTGATACTCCAGCTTAGTCCAGTGTCTGCTGCTGCTTTCTTCTACATGCCTTTGGAAACGCTCCTGAGGGTGTGTGAGAGCCTGGCACAGCACTGCCTGGCGACACCTCAGCCCTGCTAGCAGAGTAGCAGTCCGGAATGTATTCGCTCCTGAGAGTTTGATTTCAATCATGCACCTGCTGCTTTCGATCCTTCCTTCTGTGGAGTTTGTTTTTTTAGATAATGTTGGCAGAAGTTGTAGCCCAGGGCCTTTATTTAAAACCCGAGCAAGATCTAAAGGAAGAAGAAAAGGTGAAGGCATTAAGGTTTAGGGGTTTTTTATTAGCCCACTTCATTTGTTTATTCTTTTAACTTTAAAGCAGAAATTGTATGAGCATGTATAAACCAAATAACCTTTTTATTTGACATATAATGAGTCTGTAGGTTCAGTATCCTGCGGATATGAGTCTGTTTTGCTGGTAGCAGTTTTGTGCTTCAGATGTATGTCCTACCATTTGCAATGGAAATAGCGCCATTGTTCTTGATACTTTACATGCAGAAGGCCCACAGATTGAACAAGAAATAGTCAACTGGTGAAATAATGGATGCTATCCTTCCTTTGAACCTGAGCACTACCAGAAAGGTGTTTCTTCTTCCAACTTGCTACTTTTTTGCAATAGCAACATTTGAGATCTATCCTTTGTTAAGGATAGATCTTTACAATAAAATATTCCTCATCTAGACAAGCTTTTGGTACTTAAGTAAACTTTATGTATATGCTTAGTACTAGAAAACACTGAAAACCTTTTCTAAAAGGATTTATTTTGCAGCACAGTCCCACAGAAAAATGTCTTACCTTGCTTTATGGAAGGAGGTCTCTACAGTTATAACTTTGTGTAACTGAGCAAACTTGCTCATCATGCAGGAAGTCACTGCCTTGCTTGGAGTTCTGTGCACAGGACACCTATGTCCCCTCCTCTGGGTTTCTACCATTAGTATCCTGTACTGTAGCTCCAATTTGGCCAACAAACCAGCAACAGGAGGCCCTGAGTTGTTCTTCTTGCATGAGTTTTCTGAAGTGACTCAAGGAATGGATCCCATGTTGTTGAGAGACAATCTTCTCAGCCTGTGCTCTTCCCTTTTGTGGTCAGTTGTATGGTGAGTTCAGGCCACCCCTTTGCTCTAGGCTTAAAAATGTACATTCTACATCCAGTAGCACCATGAGTTAGCCCAGTTTCCACAACCAAATGTATTTGACTTGTAAGTTCTCTTTGCTCATTTTCCAGTCAGATGGAGACTCTTGATGTTTGCATCGAAAGCAGAGACTCCCATTCAGTGTCCTCTAAACACAAACTACTTTCAGTAGCCCTCTGTGTGTAAAAGAATGAATTAATGCTGTTTATCAAATGCATGTTGCCTGTAATCACTCTAAATAAAAATGCTGTTGCCACAAGAGTAAACTCGATTTAAGGTATATGCAGTGTCTAGTTAGAAATGTGCATTATATTTATTTTACACACAGATTTATCTGCAGAGAGGGCTGTGTCAACAGCAAACATTTCTGTGTGGTCAGTGGAACCCATGTTCTGCTTCTTGAGTGTGGATCATGCTGTCCAAATATGGAAAATGACAAAATAAGGAGCCTGGAGGCAAAAGGTTCTGCTTACTAGCAAACTTAGCACAGTTCTGTCTTTCAAGACTGAAGTCACAGCTTGAATATGCTAAGCAGTAGTTGTGAAAAACGGGGCAAAACTTACAGCTTCTTGCTGAAGTGTAGGCCAGCAGTGCTTAACTGCAAAGTTTCTCCTCTTTCTCTCAAAAAGCAGTTTAACACATCTGCCTTTATATTAAGAGTTACACTGATAGTTCAGATCTCTTTTACAGGTGATTGAACATTTGAAAGATGTAAGAATAGGCATAGGAACTTTCTGGGAAGACTTGAGGCTCTGGAGGGGATGTGTTAACTTGTCAGGGGAAGTTTCCTGCTTGTTACACTCCTATGGGTTTTCAGGGCTCTATTGGGTTCAACTGCCATGGTTGTTTATGTGGAAAATTATATTAGTTTTAAAAATATTGATCACAGAATTACAGAATGGTTTGGGTTGGAAGAAAATCATCTGGTTCCAACCAAAGGCAGGGATACATTCCACTAGACCAGGTTGCTCAAAGCCCCATCCAACCTGGCCTGGAATTCTTCCAGGACTGTGGCATCCACGCTGTCTCTGAACAACCCGTTCCTGTGCCTGACCACCTTTTTATCCTAATAGCCAGTCCAAACCTGCCCTATTTCAGTTTAAAGCCATTCTCCCTTGTCCTGTCACTATATGCTCTTGTAAAAAGTCCCTCACCAGCTCTCTTGTAGGCTCCCTTTAGTTACTGGGGGGCTGCTGTAAGATCTTACTGAACCTTCTCTTCTTCAGGCAGAACAACACCAACTGTCTGTCCCCACAGCAGAGATGCTCCTTCCCTTTAAGCAGCATGGTGGCCTGCCCTGGACTTGCTCCAGCACGTGCATGTCCCTCCTGTGCACTGGTGTCTCTGGGTAGTAGCAGGTGATGGTACGTGGCAATCGGGCATCTTCTCATTTCCAACTCTCACAGATGGCCAAACAGTGAAGTGTCTGGGCATTCTTGGAACTATCTGGGGTGGGGGGAAAGATGCAGCAGTTAATGCTGTTGCTGTATTCTTCTTCAGTCCATTGGTATTTTGGAAATCACTCCTTTGAAGAAAGTACATGGCAGAGCTAACCTTTCAAGCGCCTTGCAAGAGAATATCCTGGAATAGAGTTCATTTTAAGATCATTGAACTTGATTTTGGCTCGTTATGGGAGTGGAAGAATGGGCTTAAGGATTTGCTTACACTTCATTTTATGAACTGCTCTGTCTTGAGGTTCTGTTGGTATTTTTGGTTTGTGATAATGTGGCTCACTGGGGTTGGTAGCAAGGAAGGAGGAGGTAATAAGCTGGAAAACTGATGCTGTACACAGAACATCTGTATAGATTCTTATATAAGGAAACTATATTCTCTGTCTGCTGTCTGGAGAGGCCCTCTGCATTGCGCTACATTCAGCTGACAGGCTTTGAAACCAAGAACAGACTTGGCAATGAATTAATCCAGAAGGATGTAGAAAATTACTTGTTTTGTATTTATATGGATTTGCATGAATATGTAGGAAATATAAAATAACTTAGTGACATTCCAGTAAAACAGAAATGTAGTATTAGAAAAATGGCATCCATTTAATTGTAGTGACTGAATTTCCTTTCTCTTATCAAGGTGGGGTGGGGAGAACAAACACAAGAATAATATAGGCCATGGTGGTCAGACTTCACGGGTTTGAATCTTGCTGTAGTCATTATTCCTTCATCCTCCCCCTCCTTTTTTTTTCTTCTATGACTTTCATTGCATTGGAAATTAAGTTCCTACCTATCATTGCCCTCCAGCATGCTGTCTTTTATTCCCTTAATACCACCTTTTCACATATGGGAATAATGACAGAAAAATTTGAAACAATATTTATCTGGCAAATTCAGTGTTGTGCTCTGCTTCTGGTTGCTCTTTTTATGTTATAATCTGAATTAGAGTAAAGTACATAGGAAATTTCTGATGTTCTGTACTTCCCCTAGACAAAAAGGTATGAATAGATTTGGGGTTTTTTTGCTATATTGGTTTATCTTTATTTCTGTTTTAATGCAGACTCAAGAATGAACAATCCGTCAGAAACCAGTAAACCATCAATGGAGAGTGGGGACGGGAACACAGGTAAGAAATGATGAATTGGTGCACAGATATTTTTCTGGTGGAATTGAATGAATATTAAAAGCCAAATTTCTTTACCTGCTTATGGGGATAAAAAAATACCAAACCAAAAAAAACCCAAACCCCACTGTTTTTAGAGACTTAGGAACAATTTGGTCATTAACCATATTCTATTGGAGCACTACCCACACAATCTTAGATTCCCCTTCCCCCTTTTTCTGTCTGTAATTTTTATGACACTACAGAAGGCCTGGTGGCATTAGCTCTCCAGAAGTAGTCTTGTTTTTCCCTGGCAGAACATACCTTCGGCACTTCTGACTTTATCATTTATTTTTGGGTTGAAATTTTCCCTGGCAGATGTGGGCCACTGCCTGATCTTGTTTTCATTTTAGATTTCATTCAAGCTGTCACAACAGTTCTCAAGAACAAGTCAAAGGGAGAAAGGCTAATTTCTCAACATTAAAAAAAAAGTTACCCAGCTCTTCTGTAATTTCCTTGTATGTTAGATCAGAACCTTGACGATTTGGTCAAATTTTGTGCCAGGGCCAATGTGCCTTTTGGTGCATCCTTAAGATATGACCAAATTTTAAGCCCCTGGAGAAGGTTGTTACACCTCTATAGCTTAAGCATTCTATCTGATGCGTTAATTCTTTTCTGGAGGTGATTTAATGTTCACTTCAGAAGCAAGAGAAATGACAGTTCTGAATGGACAGTAAATAGTTTAACCTGACTCAGAATCTTTTCTGAGCTCAGAACAGCATTTGGGAAGAGAAAATTTTAATGAGAAGGAACTTGTTGCTTTGAGAGAAGTCTCATTACTTTGTGTGAGGGAATGTTATTTTTCCTCCTTGTGGTTCAGTAATAGGAGTTTAAAATAAAACTCTGGACTTGTGATGAAATTAACACTGTATTTCATTCTGTACTACTGTCTCCCCAGTCTTTGTGCAAGGCTTTAGTACAGCTGAGAGTGACTAAATGTTCCCAGTACTGATCTGAGAGGCTGGATGTTTTCTGCCAATGCGTGGTGTCAGTCCAGAGGAATTCTGCCTGCTTATTAATGTGTGTTTTGTCACTGGGCTCTCAGGTTTTTAATTGCCATTGTATTTTTAGTAGGAGAGGTATCAGTTCTTTCTGTGCACAAAAGTGTTTTATTATGTGTTTAATACTGGTTTAGGATGATATAAAACAGTATTTCCAAAAACATATGGACTGTAAATATTTCATGATTGTAAACAGCATCAAGAGAACAATGTTTTTTAAATATCCCTGTAGACTCCTTGTGGCTGGAGGTTGTGTGTAAACTCCTGAGAAAATTCAGATTTCCTTCTCTGTATGATCCCAGTTCCCAGCATATGCTTTTTCCAGGGTGCATTCCCAACACCCTTTCCTCAGTGCAGCTTTAACCAACAGTTTGACCTAAACTGAGCTGTTAGGAGGAGGATTTGTTTTATTCAAAGGTAACCCTTAAAAATAAATCCATTATCACAGATGCATTGCACCTGCTTTTGCAGAGCCCTGACTCGTCTCTCCAAGGCAAATATTTCATCATTGTGAAGGTGGGGGTCATGACATAGAATGGATGGATTGTAAAGCTGCATGTAGGTCCTTTCATGTTAAAAGGGGATACAATGTCTATATTTTTTATATTCTAATAGTAAGGTTAGTTATTACAAAAGTTTGACTCATATTGGTGTTTGGAACTTCGGAACATTACTTCTGTAGTTTAAATGTTACCATTTAAACTACATTTTCAGTTTTGTACCCTGATTATTATGTGAACTAAAATAATCTAGAATTTTTGAGCACCCTCTGTTCTACAGTCATTGTTTTGTTTTTAAATATAGAGCTCATAAACCACTGGAGATAGTGATTGATGGCATTTGTGATGTTTTTTGGGAGCTCAAGCATCAGTTGTATTAGTCAACTTGGCAAATGTTAAACACTGAAAGGAATACTCACAGAATGTCATTTTAGGCTTCTGATCATGGTGCTTAGGTTATGGTTCTGGACTCAGTGCATACTTAGTGGGAAAAAAGTCAGCTTTTAGCTTGGATGCTGAGGAATTGGGAGCACTATCGATTTTTCTTCAGTGCCTGTGCTCCTCAGATGTGCACCTCAGACAATGTGTGAAGATGAGTTTTATAAACACTCAGAGTTCTTATTTTTGTAACTTCCTGCAACTGTCTGTTTTCCAATGACATTTGTAAATCACTTGAGTCTGTTGTGCAAACACTACTAGTCTATCTTTTAAACCTCAGTGGATGTTTGTTTGGGTCATTCCTGTTTTAAACTGAAGTAAGATGATGCAACTTGAAAATTTTAAGAGAGATTACTGTAGGACATGAATTTACATTTGGCAGAACTAGTGTTCTCAGGAAAAAAACAACAGTTGCCACTGGTAAAGATGACAACATCAGTATTTTTCTGAGCTAACAGCTAAGTTTCATAGAGTTAACAAAGTAGGGTTTTGTATTTTGAGCTCTGACTATTTAGGGAACATAGTAAAGTCCCCTAAATATATTGGACACAATACAGTGGCTGAAATAGATTATAGCTTTAAAATCTTTGTGCTAGCTGGGCTTCCCTTTCGAACATCTGAAAAAGCAACCCATATTTCAGACAACTTAAAAACAACAACAAAAAAAATGAGTACAAGAGTTGTTGGATGGCTGTTTCCTTAAGAAAGTGAATTGATCCACTGGTCATCAATATTGTAGAGTTACAGTAATCTTTTCCAGTCTTTCAGTTGTGGGTGGACAGTCTGTGGTAGTAGCTACTGGAAAAAAGATAAGTAAGAAGAATGTCTTATAGTAAGTGGATAGTCTTTTGATGTACTTTTTATAGGCTGCAGCATAAAATTTTCCAAAACACCTTTGTTTGTTTGTTTAATGCGCCTTCTCTTTTAAAAGCTGTGTGAATGCAGCACTATGAAAACCAAGGTTATAATGACTATGGAAACTGTAGTATTATGACATGTGTTGACATAGCAGCAAAATAATAGTTTTTGTAAATATTTGGAAGGATTTTAAAGGTTCTTGTTTGCATTACTTCATTTCCAGAGACTGATTTTTCCAGTTTCCATAAGAAGGAGGTCTATAGGAAAGGGACCATAAAATATTCTTCAACTGCTAAAATTTTGGGCAAATACTAATGCTAAACTTCTTATTAGTAAATGTGAACAAGGAATCAACAATTCCTGAGCATTGGGTGTATCACTCTCTCAACACACTCAAGAGAGTTGGAGAGCCAGCAGGGAAAATGTACCGGTGGTGCTGGGAGATGTCCCCCAGAGCACAATGCACATCCCCACACCAGTCAGTTTTCAAATCTTTCTTCTTCATTCCTTTCCCTTTCTGAATTATTTCTTGCACCTTACTCCACATTTCCCCAGACCTGGAGTTCCTCACTCCTCTTCCTTTCTTATGCAATTTGCAAACTCAGACTGAAGTCAGATGATTCTGTTCTTGAATTCTTGGAGTTAAGTTGTTCTCCTGACTACAGGTGCAATGTTACCTTGCCCGCTCCATTTTGTCATGCCTTTACCCTCTACAGGTACAATTCCAAGATGGCATAAACTAATCCATGTTCAGGGTGTCCTGGTACTTAGTGTTCTGTTCCTTTCTCTGGAGAGGCACTGTATTAGTCTCCATTCAAACCACCTCTCTGAAGTAGTTAAACACATGACTGAATTTATGCCAGAATTTAAACGTGCTTAAGTTGCATTGGACCTCGACTATAAGGGTGAAATTTCATCCTACAGTTTGACTCAGTCTCAACAGCTCACTGGTGGAGCACCCAAAACAAACCAAACCAAACTACTTATAAACTACCAGAAAGGGCAGGACAGGGACAGTGTAGTTGGAACCAAGAAGAAAGTAGGGATGGGACACAGAGAGGTCCACTCCTTTTGAGTAGGAGATGGAAGATACATGAATACTTGGGATTGTTAAAATCCAAGTGCCTGTGATTGCATCTGCTGTGTCTATTAATCATTGTGGCTTTTTGTATTGAACTCTTATCTTGAGCAAAAGTGGCATGCTAGACTCACTTCATTTTCCTTTCTGAGCTTCAGAAACCATAGGCATCCTGTGATAAATGCAAGCGACCCGGGTGGCATTCCTTCCAAAACTAAAGCTTCACCCAAATGGGGAGGGAACACTGTGCTTCCAAACACCAAAGAAAGTTTAAGATGCAAGTAGAAGAGAGGGTGAACAGGTGTAGTGTGGGGTTTTTTTGCTCTGAGTTTGGTTTTGGGAGGGCTTGGAAGAGGGAGTCAGAGTCTTTCAAGTTTGAATTTAAAGAAAATGTTGTTTTCTCTCAGCGCCCAGCTAAGTTCTTTATTGGGACTTATGGAGATTTTGAGCTCAGTCTTGGAGCTTGCCTTGTTCAAAACTGTCACGTAGGAGGCTCGTTTCGGGTTTCCATATTTAGAGTCAGCAGAAGTGTTAAGTGGAGCATTTCTTCTGCACATGTGCTCAGTAGTGTTCTTTTAATATGGTATCGTGATTTGAGGCTCTTTTTGGAAGACAGTTAACTAGAGCAGCTTCACCTGTTTACCTAAGGTGAGGCTTCCAGCCCATCGTCTCAGAAACAGATAATGTTTGTACCCCCTGCAAGTTTCCACTTGGAACAAGGAGTATCTGCTTTACAGTAGGTTTTCTTGTCTGTATTTTTTTCGTACTTTGGAGTCCCCAGCCATACACTGAAAACTAATTCAAAGCTTCTGCTTAAAAGGGGTGGTGGTGTATTGTTTCCTTTGAATTACAGTAGCTATTTGTCAGGAATTATTTTTATATATTTATCCGATCATCTTTCCATTCTCTTTGGCCTTCTGTGTGAAAAGAATTCTGCAGTTTACTGGAAAGAATGAAAATTTTTCTAGCTTTTTCCAGCAGACCTTTTTTATCTACCTTTCTTTGGAGAAAGTCAACCAAGTTGCATTCATTCAGGATCAGTTCAGGCCAGTGATAGTCCTTCTGTTCACTTTGAATTGGAATTTTAAACTCATTAGGCAAAATAATTTTATGCAGTTTAAAGATGGAATATTTTTAACACATATGTCTCCAAAGTTTGTAAACCTTGGCCCAAAGCATAGAATTGAGAACGTTAGAGTAGACCAACTCTTCTCCCACGGCATCTCCACCAAAGACGCATCAAAAGGCCACCTTTTTATGTCCTACACGGATGCCAGACTATCTCCACTGTGTCTGTATTTAATTGGACAGCGAGTCAGTCTTTGGAAATGTTATCTGTGTAAGCTGTTTGTAGGTCAAAATAGCAATGTAAAATACTGGGTAGTCTATTTTACTAATCACATTTTATGCCTACTTGCTTTTGCAGATGTTTCTAAGGAATAGCAACCCCCTGTTGTTGTTTAATAACTGTGACTCTTTTGCTTAGTAGATAACCTAGATTTTTATGGCAAAGAATGCGGGTGATGGAAGGAATTTTGAAGTAGGAGTTAACTGAACACCTGTCCACGAACACCTGAACAAAATCTGATTGTCATGAAGAGTAAACATGCAAGTCTAAAACTGGTTTTGCTTCATTTCAGTCATACAATTTTAAAGATTGTATCATCTGTTCTAGAAATTCCGCACAACCTGATACACTTGGAGTCTCCCTTTTAATTTTTAGCCACTGTGGGTAGTAACACCCTACACACAAACCCGCTTTTTGACAATTGCTAATGTTGATTTTATTATCTCCCCTCAGAATGATTCTTAAAAGTTTGTATTTGTAGTACCTCCTGGCAGAAGAGAATTCTGTGGTACTGTCTTGTGGAAAAAATGTTGGGTATTTTTCTTTCCCTTCTCACAGCCAGATTATTTTGGACTTGTTTGGGAGTTTTAATGTTTTTTGAAGTTTTTAGGACAAAGTCTTCAAAAATGTAGGAAAATAATCAGTTTTTAGTTATACAACAGGGAGTGAAAACAGAAGCAAGCCCAGGCAGTTATCTTATCTAATGAGAGCTTTGCACAAATTTTAATGGAAATGTGGAGGTATCTTTTATCAAAAGAGTAAAACTGTGACCCATAACTGCTATTTATATGTGGAACTTCTATTTTCATCAAGTATTATTTTACCTGTCTTTAATGAAAGGTGACCTGATATGAACCTGAACTTGAAGATAGCTTTCAGTTGCTGATTAGAGAGTGCATGGAGAAGGGAAACACAATTTAATCTTAGCAGAGTGCACTCATTTGGTTCTCAAACCATGTAGAGAATTACGGGGTATAGATCTATCTACAATGTAGATAGAAACACAGATCACAGAATTATTTAGGCTGGAAAAGAACTTTAAGATCATCAAGCTCAACTGTTAACCTAACACTGCCAAGTCCACCACTAAACCATGTCCCTGAATGCCACATCTACACATCTTTTAAACATCTCCAGGGTACACAGAGTAGGTAAGGTAATAGAGACTGAGGAAAATACAATGTTGATTTTGTTCAGCTGACAAATGCTCCATTACTGAAGCTGGGTCACTGCTTCCTCAACCCCCTTTCAGCAAAAAATTCAATTCTTGTTACTCTCACAGTATTTTTCTACAACATAGTATTGAGAGAACAGCAGGAAACTTAGGAGTATTAATTCTTAGTTTACTTCTTAAAAGTAATAATTAATAGTTTCTAATATCTCTCTTCCTCCAGGCACGCAAACAAATGGCCTGGACTTTCAAAAGCAGCCTGTGCCTGTCGGAGGAGCAATCTCTACAGCCCAGGCCCAGGCCTTTCTTGGGCACCTTCATCAGGTAAGAGAAGATCCATTTCAAAGTAGAGGAGGCTCAGACAGCTACAAAAGCAGCTGCCCTTGGCTGTACCATGTTCTCTCTTTCTGTGAATGACAGAGTCATGTAATGGAACATATGGGTAGACCATGCACTTAAATAGCATGGATGGGAAAAAGTTCTTATCGTGGCCCTCACTGCAGTGCATTGGGCTGCAGAATATGTCAAGATAGGGTGAGACCTATCTGGCAGAACTACAGATCGCCTTCTTGGGGACTTGAGAATCCCCAAATTTTATGGTGTGTGTTTTTGACGTGTTTTTTTTTTGGGGGGGGGGGGGAGTTCAGTTGTCGTTGATTAGTTTTTTTGGTGTTTTGTTTTTTTTTTAACCTTAATAGAGATATCAAATTGAAAGGCAAGGTAAAATTTAATCTTTTTGGGAAAGGATTGTATTGACCCAACAACTGCCAAGGTTCTGAAACTGTCATGTCTAGTTAAAAATGAGAAGTGGTGTTTAATGGTAGTCAGCACTATGCTTTGCTCTTGCACATTAACTAGAAAGAAAGTTGATCGTACTTACTAAGCATATATGGTTTGTGAGGTTTTTTTTTTTTTCAAACTTATTTCTGTGACCTGTTTGTCAGATGATATTCAGACTTCTAACAGTATCCCTCTGTTCTGCTGCTACTGTGTTTAGGGAATCAAAGCTGAATTTCAGATGTAGGCTGAAGCAAAGTGGGGCATCTGTAGGCAAAGAGAAGTATAAGGGGCATTTTTTATAGGTGTTTTTTTTTTAATCTGTTCGTACTTGATGTATGAAAACAAATGTCCTAATTTCTTTCCCTTCCTCAGCACCAAGTTTAAAATACTGTACCTAATTGGATGACCTTGAATGTTTGAGGTCTGAGGTTGCACAGTTATTGTGGTATAATTGAAGTACTGAAGCTTTTATGCCCTCTTTTAAGAGCTCTGAAACTGCCGTTTTATTGTATGGAACATTCCACACATCTTGTCACATAATTGCAATTTTCCTAGTAGATTGGTTTATATAGGACCTAGGGAGTGCCACTATCTGAATCTGCTGAACCAATAGGCTGTTGTAGGGTGCCTTTCTGTGGAGGAAAGGTGACCAGTTTTCATGGGTTATCATTGTGTTTAACATGGAGACATAGAGCTGGTCTGCAGAATTTTGTGTGTTTGTTTTACTCTTTGTTTTGTTATAATAGATTGACCCAGGACAGTAATTGTGTTTAGCACAGTGCTTTATCCTGCTTTGGAAATGTATGTATTTAATCAGTTGTCAGGTTCTTTATAACTTCGTATTTCATAAAGTGTGATTCATTTCTTGAAACTGGTTCAAAGGTATTCTTTTATTCACCTGCAGGTGTGTGGGGATCTATTGTCAAACTGTCCTCGGCTGGTGTGGCTGCTCTTAGTGGAGTGTTGTTCAACCTTAACATAGAGTGCTTTCCTATAGACTAATGCAAAATATTAGACTGTAGACAGCATTCAGGAACAGTTTAATTTCTAATTTGAAAATATTGGTTGTATGGTGAAAGGAGTGTCCAAATTGCATTCAGAGAAAATTTCAGGACTATACTGACTGTGAGAGTGAGATACATTTGTAGTCTATGTGTGTTTTCTGTCATTTTAAAGTATTATTTCTGAGTATATTTTCTTGGATGGCAAGGTGGTGGTGTTTAGGTTATTCTCTGCTGTTAGTCCATGTTAAAAGCTGAGATTACATCAGCTGTGTCAAACTATATTTTGCTTGTGATGAGGAGAGGCTTTTCTGGGAGTGTTTGCTTAGGTGTAGAACACGCTTAGTAAGTCTGGTACCTTCATTTAGAGAGGCAGGAAATATTTCCAAGGTGACTTTTAAGGGTCGCCTGTTCAAATATTCAGTTATTAATTTCATGTACTGCAATTTTTCCCATGCTTGAAAATATGTGTACTCTTTATGTGGGGACATGGTTTTACAGAGGCAGGAGTGCTACATTTTGCTTTGCTTTGTTGTATCCTCACATGTTGCCTTGTTTTAAAATGAGCAGCGGTTTTCAAACATGGCCGGAGAGAGAATTCTCTACAGGCTGTAACTCTGACCTTTGAAAATGTTGGTAATTAATTACAATAGCATTCCTTCTTTATAACTAGGAGTACTGGTAGAAACAAGGCGAGACTGATTAAAACGGTCTTCAGTAAATGAAAATACAGCATTTGTTGTACAGAGAAAATCCTTATTAGAGATAAAAGAACACTCTTTAAAAATCTCATTTTCTGAAACATCTGTTTTTCTTCACTGCTAACCCACAAGACCTTCTTTGGACCTTTTAATCACAAACACTGAATTCAAGTTTTGAGTGTACCTGAATCAACACAGCTTTTGTGAAGTGTCTCTGGTCCTCTGTATTGAGATCTTCTTTTCGGTGGCTGAGGACTGGAAACACTTGGACAGGTTGGTTTGAGGGAGAGTGTTTATGCTCTGGGTTCTGTGCTGTGCAGGTGATTGCTCCTCTGTCATGTAGGAAAGTGAGTGAATGCAGTGTTGGGGTAAGACCCATTCTGAAATATGGGTAGGATGGTGATGACTAGAGCTTAATGGCCTCTCCTGGAGCCTGGATTTTTCAAGCAGGAATAGGACTAGGTTAGCCTGTCCACCCCAATATGCTCTATTTCAAATTCATTCATGATGATATCTAGATCCCTAGGCAAGAAGACCTTCTGCAAGAGGTAGACAAATAACACTTGTGGAAGAGTCTTAGAGATCTTTCTCAGCCTGGAGCACAACCCCTGTTTCACTGATGCAGGTGTTAGAGGGGCATGCAGTGTTCTTGGGGGAATTCTTGTTGGGACATGGGTGGGGAGATCGTTCTTCTTACATTGTTAGTTTTCTGTGGATTCTACATTATTTCATTTCCATTTTTGCACTGTTGTAGGTCCAGCTCGCTGGAACAAGTTTACAGGCTGCTGCTCAGTCCTTAAATGTACAGGTAAAGACAGTTACCTTCTGCTGCTTGTCCTTCTCTCATCCCAAAGAGCATCCTGGTCCCATTAGAGATAGTTTTTAATCTATGATGTGTTACTCTGTTCAGTCTGACTGGTTTTGCAAGTGATAGGTATGAAGGAATAATAGTTTTACAACTGTAAATCAGGTTCAGGATAGTAAGCATTCAGACACTGGAGTTGTTTAAGACATGCAGTGATCATAATTAATGCTGAATTTCAGTCAGATGTCATATCATGAAAACTATGAAACTCCAGGCATATTTCAGGTTCTTTCATTTATTCACTTATTTTAAACATATCAAATATTACTTTGCAATTTTTCTGGTAATTGAATATAGGAATATAACATAACATTAACTATGTAAGGTGGCAGGCTTAGATTGCTTGGGTAAATAACACAAAGTGATATCAAAATAAGTTGGAGTAATTGTTGTTTAATAATGTACGTGAGACAACAAAGCTTTCAAACTTTATGATGCTGAACACTTCAGTGTATCAGTTAATGTTCCACTTCCTCTCAGTACTATATTAAAGGGGCAAGGGATGCAGTTTTATTGAAGACTGGTTTCAGTATTGCTTGTTATTAAAGAATGTAGGTAGTGCATTACATGAAATGCAATAGAATGTGGACCCACTTATACATAATAACAATTTGGAAAGAAGAGGAGGTATAGTGACCTTCCTTTCTAAGAGGAAGGAGGCAGAAAATTGCCTTGGTTGCCATGGTAAACTTCCATCCCTGAGAGAGATGTTGGCAAACAGGCTGTATCTCCAGTGCAGAATGTTTACAGTCCTGCGCTGTAATTATCACTCAATGACTGGCAGAATTAATCAGAGCCTTTATGTTAATTAGCCCGCTCTGCAGTCCCCAAAACAGGTGGTGAAAAATATGCAAATCTATGCAGAATTTTAATGTTCTGCATAACCAGTTTTAATTATCATAAAACTCTCTCCCCCTCTTCATGCACTTGCATTTCATCCCTCATCTCTTCACAATTTCTTGTGTTTAAAAAAACAAACAACCAAATCATGGAAATAAATCAAAATAAACTTGAATCTTTTTAAATAAAGCAGCATAAGTAAATAAATAAAACAAATGCTAAACTTTGGTTATTTAAAAGCACTTTATGTATTATGTATTTTGCTGTAGGTAGATAAACCTGTGAGGATTTTTAAAAACAGTTCCATATAAACCAACAGTATGATGACTTAGAGGTACAGGATACAGATAATGGAAACAAAATCTCCTTTCCCTCATTCCATTGTTCAGGATTTTAGGCAATGAATAATTTTATCAACCTTCTCTTTCTTTATGGTGAGAGGTAGCATCAGCTTCCGTTGCATTGCGTAAAATGAAATGAGACCTGAAAATAACGTCAAAGAGTTACAAGGGACCTGAGAGTCTCTTTGTTTTGTTTAAACTGCATTACCTACAGACACGTTTGAGCAGTCGTAGCTGAGATGGTGGGCTCGCAGAGCCATTGCTTAAACACACTTTTAAAATAAACCCAAGGGCTTTTAGTATGCAGATGAAAGATTTTTATTGTGCAGTGTTGAGATAGCAGTGTGTCGTACATTAACATCTGTTTTACACTATAAAGAGTTGTATTTTTTTTTTGACTAGTCTAAATCTAATGAAGAATCTGGGGACTCTCAGCAGCCAAGCCAGCCTTCCCAGCAGCCTTCAGTGCAGGCGGCCATACCCCAGACCCAGCTCATGCTGGCCGGAGGACAGATCACTGGGGTAAGGTTTACCCAGGTTTACTGCCGTCAGCCTCCTGATGGCAGTATCACAGAGCTTGTCAGCAAAGGGGGTTGTCATTAACATAGCAAGAAACTTCAGTGGAAGTGGGGACATAAGGGATCTTCCTAGAAAAATAAGCAGACTTTAATATTTGGGATTTGTTGCAAAAGTATTTGCTTCCAAACAACTACAACAAAAGAGAATTGTTTCTCTCTGTTCTCGGTGTCCGTCTTGACTCTGCAATGAAAGGAGAACCTGACATGTGTACAAATAGGACAGTCACTGATGTGATAAAGAGGAATTTTTACTTTTGTCAAGATTAAAATGGAAGAACAAGACTAAATCTTATCAGATAGCTGGATATAGAACAAAATTATGTGACCTGCTAATTCTTCCTCTTCTCAAATATATTTCAAGTAACTATATTAGTACTCCTTAAGCCTATTCAACCCTTCTGTTTTAACCTAACAATTCTGAGGGTTTTTTATTTGCAAGGTCTTGGGAGTAAATATGAGGTAACTTAGTTTAGACTGTTGGTTGTTTCTGAATTGTTGTTTGGTCGTTTCTAAAAAGGAAGTTTTGTGAAAGGGCTCATTAAAGAATTAGCATTTACGTAATCAGCTTTGCAGTTTTAAGTGTTTGTGTGTTTAGGACAGTTGCTCCAAAAAAGTATTTATGATTTGAAGTATTAGATTACATCATCTCTACATTTGAATGAAATGATATCTTAATTTCAGGCTCAATTGTTAAACTTTCTTCTGTATTAGCATACAAATAAACATCCTATTTAGTTTTCAGTTAATTGCATTTGAAAGCTTTAAAAGTGAGACTGTTTTAATATGTTGCTAAAACCTGGCATATTTTATTATTTTTTGCATTTCCAAAAAATATTGTTTTAATTCATGATTGTCTGCTGTAGTGAAACATTCAAAACTCCAGGGCCATGCAGATACGGATTGTAGTAAATATGGGCATCGAGATTCATTTACATGTAAAGGAGAGACTGCTGCCACCTGTTCCTCAGAGATAATGCGTGTTTGGGAAAGGGAAGGGATGTAAAGTTGCCAACTCTATTCTGTTTAAAAAAAAAAAAAGCAGATGGGGAGACTTGGAGAGAAACAAATGGAGCTCATGTTCTTTACTTATATCTTAGGGCATGATGGAAATGATGGAATATGGCAGGGATTCATGCTAATATGAAGCAGCTGGGGTGTTATCAGTTTGTTCAGTAGCAATAGCCAGCATTCCTGCTTCGCATTCATCTGGCTAATCACTTGCTGTTCTGCTGGGTGTAAATTTCTTTTCAGAAAAGTCCCGGCAATACTGATTCTTTTCTTTTGCTTGCTACTTAATTACCTTCTTCCAGAAACTCCTGGTAGAGTTGTGAAGAAAACTTAGGAGTGAAGTTAGGTTCTGTAGGTTCCAGTAAGTGCAAATGTTTGCTTTCGTGCAGTTTGGTTTATGTCAGGACTGTGGTAGGTTGGTTCCTACACTGTGTTGAGTAGCCAGCTGTCCTTACTTAAGGCCAGAGTCATCGACCAGGCAATGGCTGAACCGTAGCAATAGTTCTGGGGTTGTCTGGTGAATATAACTAGTAACGAGCTAGCTAATGACTTTGTAGCTGAAGTGGCTCTTTCCATTATTAATGGCTGTGTTTTCTAATTGTTTATAGCTCACGTTGACGCCAGCCCAGCAACAGTTATTGCTCCAACAGGCGCAGGCACAGTTGCTGGCGGCTGCAGTGCAGCACTCAGCCAGTCAGCAGCACAGCGCTGCTGGTGCCACCATCTCGGCCTCTGCTGCAACGCCGATGACGCAGATCCCTCTATCTCAGCCAATACAGATTGCACAGGTGAGCCTTGAGGCTTGAGAGGGTGGAAAATAAAGACCTTTGACTTCATTTGCACCATTTTTTTATTCCCTTATTCAATGGGTTTCTAGAGTCCTCAAGTGTTGTTAGTCATTTCTCACGCGTTCTCAACTGGTGAAGTTGAAGCTGGTAGTCTTAGCTGCTCATCAGTTCCACTGGGCTTCTGAGTTTGTTCCAGAATCTGAGCAGATGCTGTATTTTCTAAATTTTCCTCCTTGTTGTTAGCTTTGGAAAGAAGGAAAAGGGGGTATAGAGAGATGCCCATAGAAATTGCCCATGTTGAGACCTGTATGGATGGGAAGTGATGCTTGAGTATCACCAAGGATGGTCCTCAGACCCAAATGGTGCTTGTTAGAACCAAAATGACAGAGCCGAAGAAAGGCAGTTCGACTTGACGGATTTGTGTACTGTTTTGGTTTGGTGCTTAATGCTCAGAGTTCAGTGACAGAGGATGGGCACTCTTGTGTGTCTAGGGAAAAACTTGCCAGAATGTGTCTGGAGTTGAAATCTGACCAGTTTTATGGTCTGGTACTACTTGCCACTTAATTCTGAAGAACTTCTTAACAAGGCAGTTCTGCTTACTAGAAGCAGCAAAGATTTTCCTGGATCTTCCAGGTTTGGGATAATTCAATGTGGAGAATGCAGTGCCACTAACTCCATGCTTAGTATATGTAGTGTGGAAACTCCTTAGACTTGTGGACAAGGGTAAACAAATGTACAGCTGAGGCATCTTGAGTACTACTGTTAGGTTGTTGTGTTGCTGGTGCTGAGGTCTATCTTTCCGTAGATTAGGGTTCTCAGTATGTAGTATCAGTTTGATTAGTGTAGCTGTGCAAAGTGTGTTGGATATGTAATCTCCAAAGTTACTTCTTTTTAGAGTGAGCAGACTCTTTAAAACTGTCTGATTGTTTCTGTTCAGGCTGTTTTCTCTTGCATTCAACTGGGGTGAAGTGTCTAAAAAGTGAACATGAGGTCTGATTAGGGACAAGAATGGAAATGTCACAATTACTGTGAAGTCCATTGGTGAAATGTGCAATTCCTTTATTGTACTAGTCCACTAGCTGAATAACAGCCTGGCTGTGCTATCAGACTTTTATTAGTGGAAGTGGTGAATTTCTATTAGGTTGGTCTAGAAGTTCTGACCTCTCTGGCTGTCCTTAGAGAGGCCAGATTGATGCCATCCCACATTTAAGTGAGAGATCCCACAGATCTCTCACACTGAACCTCTTGTTGGACTGTGACAAGTTGTGTGACCAAATATTAACAAATCTTTTAGCAAAGGATCTCACTTCACTGGCATGATGTGGAGATGACTGAAGGATGTAGCATTCAAGGAAACTTGTAGTTCCCAAGGTCATCTCTTAATTTTATTAAGCCTTCGTAGCCAATAATACAAGCAGATTTCAAGGTAAGAATGGGAAGTGTCCTTGTCAAGGGAGTTGGTGGTCAGCTTCTAACTTCTTCCCATGCATCTGTCACAGAGTTCCCATGTGATACTGTGCAAGTTTTTTAACCCAAGTGTAAGTAATCCACAGGTGTGTGCCTCTTGTCTTCCAGGTGTGCAGCTTAAGATAGTGAGGTCTGCTTTACTGAAGTGTGGCACACTAAAATTTCATATTAACAAAATCCATACCTTGAACTTCCTACCTTTACGTTTGTCAAATACGCTGCCAAAGCAGTGGATACCTTTGAATGCAATGTGTGAGATGTTGCTAATCCCTCTCTTCCACAGCAGTGGAAATGTGTGAAGCATTTACAGTGATTAATTTTGTACTGGAGAAAATCTTCAGAGAAATGTTTGAGAGGAGTTGAAAACATCAGGTGTGTGCCGTCAAACAGGAGCTTCTGAAGTGAGCATGTGCTCTATGGAAAGTAGCATCTGATCATGTTGTTGCCACAGGGGGAACAAATTAAAGTTGGACTTATTTTCTGGCATTTCTAATTACTGAAACGTTTGACTTTACAATTAATTTCTTTTAGGATAGGTTATTTTGATACATAAATGAGCTTGGTTGAATCTTGTTGGCTGCTTCTCGTGATGAAAGTGCAGGGCATAATTTGTGCAGGTATTGGATATAATTTGAGATACTTATGGAAAATGTCTACCATCTAGGTTCATAGGTAGGTAACATGGTTTTTGATCCATCTTGGCAATGATTTGTAAGCAGTGCTCAGCTTTGTTTGTGTTGCTATTGTAAACATATAGCTGATAACACAAATAGCTGAATGTTTGTTTTAATTGATGATTTTTGAATAATTGATTAACTGGCAGGTCTCTGCTGCAGGGAGATTACCATATTTATTTTAATTAACTAATTGCACAAGCATGACTTCTTTAATGTGCACTGCAGTTCGGGTAAGGTATCTGCTGCAGCAGCCTGGTGAGATGCTAATGCTGCTGCTGTACTGCTGCTCAAGTGATACTGAACAGTTGTACCAAGCTTTGTGGTTCTTTGTAAACTTCATTCGTTCTCAGGATCTATGATCAGTGTTTATATAATGTAAACCTCAAAATGACAGAGGTGCTGAAGTTGTAATTAGAAATAATGACACTGAATGTAGAACTGTAGATGATTTTTTTTGTTTATTGTTTGGTTGGTTGGATTTTGTTTGTTTGTTTTGGAGGATTGTGTTTTTGTTTTTTAACAAAAATCTTCACAGCAAGTTTTAGCACTTGACAGATTATTCTACTGAGGTAGATTGTGGATTGTTTTGATCTTTCTAAATTGTTAGGCAGCACCAGAAGACATGCATGTTTTCCTGGAAGTCTTTCCATCTCTTTCTGTGGGCTTATGCTTGCACAGGGATTTTAACACAGAGGGGAAAAAAAGATCAGTATAGGAAAATAGTGTCAGGTTTGTTCGAGTGGTTGCTCTTGAGAGATTTACTGTAATGGTATAATTAACTAAATAATAAAAGTTTCCCAAGATAGAAGTAAAGTTGGATTTCAAATGAATTTGAGGAGCTGGTAGAGCTGTTTAAGTGTGATTAGCCTTGCAGGTATCATTTTCATTTTGTGTTACAGAATTATATTTTTGTATTTAAACAAGACTTAGCCAACACATCAGTTACCAGGGCAGATGCACAGAATAAGATTGCTTATACCAGTTATCCCTGAGGCCTCAATTTAAAAACAGTTTTCTCATATTAAAGTGTAAGAACCTGATGATAAGAGCTGTCATGTCTTAGCTGTGTAGCTGGTGTTATGAATACAATAGTCTTAAACAAAAAGCTCTCCTCCTTTGATCTTACAGATAAACTGCCACTGTTTCTTTGTATTCTTTCTTCTATTAACTCCATCTCCTGTGGTGATGCTTCAGATCATCTGAGATCTACTTGGTCATCCAGGGCGATTTCATTTGTTTGCTTTTGGTGGGAGAGGTCCTCCACCTGTCCGGTTTTCTGTTGATACTTCTTTCTTCTACAGTTTCTTCCCAACTCCTCCTTTTGTGTTTGTACTTCTTCTCTTTTCTACCTCTGTTTTCAGCCTGCAGGCTCTCTTTATTTCCTTTTCTTCCACCCAGTGCTCACACCCTTAGTCAGCTTGCCCTACTCTTTTCATTTCTGCTTTTAACTCTGCATCCAGTCCTCACATCCCATTCAATGTGAGCCCCTCTGTGCTGGAGGGTCGGCACAACCTGCAGAGGTAACCAGTCAAGCATTGAAAATCAATGAATAAATGAGTGGAGGTCCATGTTGTGTTGGGCTTGAGAAGCAGCAGTTTTTGTGAGCAGTGCTGACCAGTGTGATGTCATGACATGAAGTCAGAAGAAACACGGACTTCCAGGGAAAAGCTGGAGCAGTTATTTCTCTCTTTTTAAGAGGGAAGTTGGCTTCAATTTCCTAGGAATAGTTGTATTACTACTGGAATTTTCTGAGATCAAACAGTACCACTGACTTTAAAAACACTTTGTTGTGCTCATGGGCACTTTTTAAAATTTTATCATTCTCTTATAAAATGGAAGCTTCCTGTTCTTAAGAGCGTTGTTTGGCCAATCCATCTGGTGTCTGTCTGCCATATTATTACACTGCACGCTCTGGACTTAACACAAGTTAAGTTGCCCAAGTGATTGATGGCCAGTGTCTGTGTAATGCAGGTTAAGTAGTCCTTTTCCTATAATGCATGTCTATGGTCTCATAAATCAATGGACTCCCTTTTTTTTTCCTCCGTAGTTTTCCTTTACATCCACTGACATTCCCCACCCCTCATCCCCAAAAGGAGATTGCTACAACTTTGAAGCTATAGTTTAACGGATTTAAAATAATGTAACACTATAGTCTTCTTGTTTGGTTAGTTTGGTTTGTTGAATGGGAGGTTGCAAGTATGGAAAATATTTGCTTCGTGAGTATTTTGAAACAACTTCCTCTCAGAAAGATGGAAAAATTCTACATGTGTAGACAGTTTTCATGGATTACCACTACTATGTTGGCCGACTTCACAGTGTGCTTCGGTTCTCAATTTCAGTTACTCTTGTTATCATCCTGTTTGGAGAAGATAAAAAGAGAAAGGCTACAGAGGGGGACCAATATTTTTAAACAATTCTCTATATTTTCTTTCTCCAACTAAATGTCAAGTTGAAGCATTTTTCTTGAAAATCCATGTTCTCAGAGATTAGCATTTTATGTTGAGACCAGTCATTTAATTACAGAAAATTAATAGTTTTGAATGGTTTAAATACATAAAAGTAGGGTACTACAATAAAGCAGTGATTTGGATTATTCCTTTTAACCTTTAATTACAGTCATATCTATTAGGCTTATTGTAATTTGTTTCAGAACTAATCAAATTTATTTATTTATTTATTTATTGAGTAGCTACTTTCGGAAATTTGACCTGAATAATCAGCGTGCAAACAAGGAATCTGTAATATTTTGCTTTCCTGTTGTTGATTCAAATGGTAATTTCAGATTGTTGTTATAAACAAAAATAGCTCCCAGCTAATTTGCTTGATTTGTAGCAGAGTTTCATCCTCAAAAAAATAAATTCGAAAAATCTGAGTGCTGATAAGAATAAAGTATTTGAAAACTCCTGCTTTGGTGGGGCTGGGAGGGAGATTGATTTGGTTGGTTGGTTATTTGTTTTTGTTTTGCTTTGTTTTTAAAGCAGAACAGTGCTGGAAATACTTTGCTGGGTTATTTACCAAATAATCTTTGTTTGGTTTTATGAACGACAGTGCAATTCTAATTGTGGTTCTAAAGGATATTCAGTAGCAGGACTGCTGCTGTGTTTGACATCCACTTTTATCTCTAAATGTTAGAGTGTAACTGGCTGATAGAAAATCTAGTTACATTGGGGGTCATGGCTGACTTAAATGTCTAACACACAGCTCTTTCTTTCTCTCTCTTTTTTTTTTTTTTTTTTGTTGTTGTTGTTCCTCCTTTGTTTTTTTCTTTTTTTCTCCTTTCTTCTTCCTTTTTTTGCTCCCTCTCCTTTTTTTTTTTTTTTCCCTCTTCTCCTGTTTCCTTAAGGATTTGCAGCACTTGCAGCAGCTTCAGCAGCAGAATCTCAACCTGCAACAGTTTGTGTTGGTGCATCCAACCACCAACTTGCAGCCAGCACAGTTCATCATCTCACAAACACCGCAGGGGCAGCAGGGTAAGTGCTTCTTGACAGAAAAGTAAATCATGCAGAGCTTTTGTAGAGGATAAGGTGAAACGGAGGTGGTTCATACACCTTCGCTAACTGTTGATAATCCCTAGGAGAAAAACAGCATTGCAATTAGGAAATGCTAAGAGGTTGTCCCTTTGATGTTAGACCTCAGCCTTGTCAAAATTCATGTAGCTCACTTCTCAGGGAGGATCAATCCAGGGACAGTGTCATTGGAACATTTGTTAACAACAAGGCTTCTTGGAAAACACTGCAGCATCTGAATTTTTGGGTTAGGTTCTCAAGAAGCAAGACTACTGGGAAGAAAAGTTGGAGAAGACAACTCTCCAGAAGTCAAAGGCAGAATCCTGTGAGGTGGAGGCCTGTTGGGTGCCTTGGCTGTCTGGATTAGGTCAATGCTCAAAGGGCTACAAAATTCTAAGACTGTGTTGTGGTTTATACCAACAAGAGATACAAAAAAAGTGATGCACAGTGCAGCTCCTCACTGCCTACCGACCGATGTCCAGCCAGTTCCCAGGCAGCAGCCCCCAGGCAGCTTTCCCCCCTTTAGTTTATATACTGAGCACAAGACCATAGGGTGTGGAATACCCCTTGGGCAATTTGGGTTAGCAGTCCTGGTTCTGTCTTCTCCCACATTCTCGTGGCTCACAGCCTCTTTGGTGATGGGGTGGTTATGAGAGGCTGAAAAGCCCTTGACTCTGCAGTGCTCAGCAATGACTAAAACATCAGCATGTTATCAACCTTCTTCTCATCCTAAATCCAAACCACAGCACTATACTAAGCAATAGAAAATTAACTGTATCCCAGTCAAAACCAGGAGAGACAGGAAAAAGATTACAGAATTAAAAGTTCTTGTGGGAGAGTGGAAAAGTACTTAAACCTAAAACAGGTACAGTGAATTTTGTTATAAACCTTGGGAAAAGAGTTAGAATGCTTGATTTGTGTAACAGGTCTTATAATAATAATATTTTGACCATGCACTGGGTATGACTTACATGCCAAAGACAATCCAGGGCAGTGGGAGGTGGTAGCATGCCAGACCAGTTAAGATGTTGTACAGTAGCTTTGTTGTAAGAACTAATGTGTTCAAGTTGCAATGCATCACGGTACTGATTGCAGCCCATTTGTTGATTCCCATGGAAAACTGTGTTTAGCTATGGCCTCTTATGCTGATATACTCCAGTAGTCTTTTTTTCCCCTCCTCTCTGTTCTACATGAACTCTACTCAGTTGTTCAGGTCTGGTAATCCAAAGATTCTTGCTCAGAAGGCAAATCCTGTTATGCTTGAAGAGTCCTCCAGAGCCTGGCTGTCCTGTAAAGCAGCTCTTTGCACCTCATTTTCTTCTGTTCCTTTCAATTTTTTCATGCATCATTCCTTCGTACATACTCTGAATTGGATAGAACCTGGCTTTCCATTATGCTGAAGCGCTTTTACTGTCTGAATGCTCTCACATTTGAATGAAGGGTTAGTCAAAATTAACTTCCTTTTAATAGGACTTGATTTAGGAGAGATTTTATACCAGTACTGGTAGAAAATGGCTAAAAGGCTATTCATAGAAGCATTTAGTGATGTACTATTTTCTTAAAATGAAGCAGAACTTATAAACTTAACATATTGTTCTATCAAGAAATCAAACCACCAAAATGTAGTTCAAGGATTCTTTAAAATAGCTTTTTTATTAAAATAAATTCTTTTAATGAAACAGCAGGCACAAAAGTGTTGTATTGAAAAAGTCATTGGTATTAAGGTCTGCCTACATTTTTCAGCAAAATTCTGCTGGTTTTCTAAGATACCTCTGAAGATGCCTCACAAAAAGGGAAAACTAAGAGAAGCAAATTGTATTCATACCCCAAAATGAGTTGTTTGCATTACAGAAAGGAAAGGAGGCTTTTCCATTTGTTTAAAATCTCCTGGAGTAGAATTAACTACTAGAGGAGGTTTTTGTAGTACCTTTCTCAGGGGCCATCTGTAAAATTAGTTCTTCACTGAAATGTGAGACCTGCATATTGCTGTCATCCAGCAACTCAGTGTGTGTAGAAAGGTTGTGTTTTACTGGTAATGTGCAGCCTGGACAACTGAATAGCTCAAAAATGTAGGAAGATTTGTGGGCTGAATTCTGACCACAGGTCTTTACTGTGTGACAACTTTCCAAATTGAAATGCTTGAATGGATCTCATTTTCTTCATGAGCACTCAATGATAAAGCAACATGTATGCCATAACACCCCTTGTATCACTTTTTGATGTGGCTTTTTTGCAGTATTTCACAGTTATTATTAAAGATCGCAAACTGTACATTACTATTTATGAGAAAGATTGAGAAAGTGTGTATTTTTACTTTGCTGTTTGCTGTTGCAGCTGACTTTTCCCTGTTGTTCTTGTCCTATTGCTCCATTAGCTAACTTCATAAAAGAATAAATATTCTGAGGAAACTAGCATAGAGTTTTCTTTAAAACCAATGGTGTTCAGATTTCTTTTGATGCCTCATTGGTACTGCATGGAGCTTTATATATATATATGCATTTAATAGCTAACATGAAAATTCAGATTTGTGTATAGATTATGTATTCTGGAAGAAATTTATTACTTTACAGACTGTGCTACTTGTTTTGTGTATGCCATATAGTCATGTAAATATTTTTCAAATGAGAAGAGTTCTGAGGAAAACAAGTGAAGAACAGTATCTCTAAAGAAGATTTTAGAAGACAGGTAGACATTTGGTAAAAAAAACTTGTTACTTGAAGAGGTGATGGGGTACAGAGAAATACAATCATCAGCAATCATATGTAGATTCTTGAAGGGGTTGAACTTCATGACCCTGGATCCAAGCTTTGAAATATTTTAGAAAATTCAATACCTTAAATATTAATCAATAATAGGGATGTTATTTTCCTGTCTTTCTTTAACACAACCATTATAGCGCCCAGCAACAGATACAAAATTTTCTCCATAAACCCCTTGCCATATGTCTAACATAGTCACCTTCCTTTTCCAGATGATTTCTGGCTATTTAGTGGCTTATATGAAACAAATTTACAAGTTCTCATTTTTCATGGCTGGTAATTGGTAACATCATAACTGAAGGAATTGCTTCAAGCCTCAGCAGTTATGCAGAAGATTGAATGGAAATAGAAATTTGGAACAATTTCTTATTCAGAGCGACTGTTGTCCAAATTGTTGGCAAAGTCACAGGCAGTGACTGTAATGTCTCTATACCTCTTGTATCTCTTCTTGTATCTAATAGATCTGTCTCTAGAATAATCAATTCAACATCCCTTACTACAATTATAGCTGCTTCTTAGAAATATTACCCTCATCAGGTGACTGTTCACCTTTCTACTTGGGAGATGTTGCCAATAAAAATCATATCAATAAAAATCTGAATGGAGAGGGGAATTGGTGCTGCATTTAATATAAATTAATCTTGCAAACAGAAGTTGTTAAGATCTAAGAAAATACTGTATCATTGTCAAGGAGATTTAGAAATAGTACTTAAAAAGAAAATATCCAGAAAAGCAAATATGGAAGACCAGCTACTAATTACCTTTAAACACTGTAACTGGGCCTACATATTCTCAAGTTATTGCTGTTTATTATTAAAGACCTTGTTTATGATTTCACTTTTTTATTGTGAAGTTACCTGGGATAATGATAGGAGGCCAAATTCAGTCCTGTTCTCTTTTTTCCTACGGGTCCTACAGACTTAAAGGCTTTTAGGACAAGAGGGCATGGTCTTGAGCTCTGCCAGGGGAGGTTTAGGTTGGATATTAGAAGGAAGTTCTTTACAGAGAGAGTGATCAGGTGTTGGAATGGCCTGCCCAGAGAGGTGGCAGATTCATTGTCCCTGGAGGTTTTTAAGACGAGGCTGGATGTGACACTGAGTGCCGTGATCTGGTAATCACGGTGGGGTTGGATCAAGGGTTGGACTTGATGATCTCGGAGGTCTCTTCCAATGCAGTTAATTCTATGATTCACTGTTGTAATGGCTTTGTCTTGCAAGCTGATCTTCCAGGATATGTCTGTGAGAAGATGAACAGCTTTGGCAGAGATAAAACAGGCAAGTTCTTAGATGAAAAAATTCACTCTTTAGGGAGATCATTTAGGAATGAATTATGTATTATGCTTCTGGGCCAACTTCTTAAAAATTATGCTGAAAAAGTCTGCACTTGAATGTTTGTTTTATCTTTTGTTTAATTTTAGACAGTAAGAACTCAACCCCAGATCAGTCCTTGGGGACTGTTGGCTGGTAGGAAGAGTTTTTTGGCTTGGACCATTATTCATGCTACTCACAGACATTACAGGAAAAATTCTGAATGATGGTACATGCATTTACTTTACCTATTAAAAAAAATTAAATACCTCTAAACTGTCATACTTTTGCATAGATCTTTACCTCCATGCAGTCATTCTTTTGGAGTGTCACACAGGTAATTTGTATGCCATATTTAATGCAATAATACCACTGTGCTCTTAAAACCCAGGGCAGAGGATTAGGAATAAGACCTCTGTAAAGTATGCAAGTACACTATCAGCTTTTACAGATTCAAAAAAATCATGTGGGCTGGAAGGGACCTCCAAAGGTCATGTAGTATTACTCAAAGCAGGTCCAGTTACAGCAAAGTGCTCAGCACCTCAGACAGTTGAATTGAACATGTCCAAGGGTGGAGTTTCTGCAGCCTTTTCAAGTACCTGTCCCAACAGTTGACTCCTCTCCTGGTAAAAAAGAACCTCAAATAACATTTCCTGCATCAACCTTCTTGAGGTTCCATTTGTCCAACCAGTCTAGATCCTGACTTCTGGCCTGTTGACCGCTTTCCCCATATGTGCTGTTGTCCACAAACTTGCTGAGAATACATTTTGTCCCATCAGCCTTACTGGTAATAAAGATGTCAGAGAAGCACAGCACTAGTTATGTTGGAAAAGTCCTCTGAGATCATCAAGTCCAACCTCTGACTGAACACCACCATATGCCACATCCAATCTCTTCCTAAACACCTCCAGGGACAGTGACTCCACCATCTCCCTGGGCAGCCCATTCCAATGTCTCATCACCCTTCCTGTGAAGAAATTCTTCCTAATGTCCAACCTAAACCTTCCCTGACGCAGCTTAAGACCGTGTCCTCTTGTCCTCCTGCTTCTTACCTGGGAGAAGAGACCAACCCCCACCTGGCTACACCCTCCTTTCAGGGAGTTGTAGAGAATGATGAGGTTTCCCCTGAGCCTCCTCTTCTCCAGGCTAAACAACCCCAGCTCCCTCAGCTGCTCCTTACAGGACTTGTGCTCCAGTCCCTTCACCAGCCTGGTTGCTCTTCTCTGGACCTGCTCCCAACTGAGGGGCCCAGAACTGGACACAGCACTCCAGGTGTGGCCTCACCAGCGCTGAGTACAGGGGAAGAATCACTTCCCTGGTCCTGTTGCCACACTGTTCCTGATCCAGGCCAGGATCCATTGGCCCTCTTGGCCACCTGGGCACACTCTGGTTCATGTTCAGCCTCCTGTCAATCAGCACCCCCAGCTCCCTTCCTACCTGGCTGCTCTCCAGCCACTCTGTGCCCAGCCTGTAGCGCTGCAGGGAGTTGTTGTGGCCAAAGTGCAGGACCAGCACTTGGCCTGGTTGAACCTCATCCCCTTGGAATCAGCCCAACTCTCCAGCCTGTCCGGGTCCCTCTGCAGAGCCCTTCTCCCCTCCAGCTGATCAACATCTCCCCTACCCCACCCCAACTGGGTGTCATCTGCAAATTTGCCAATGGTGGACTCGATCCCCTCATCCAGATTATCAATAAAGTTATTAAACAGGACTGGGCCCAGCACTGATCCCTGGGGGACACCACTGGTGACCGGCCGCCAGCTGGATGCAGCCCCGTTCACCAGCACTCTCTTGGGCCCGGCCATCAGCCAGTTCTTAACCCAGCACAGAGTGCCCCTGTCCAAGCCATGGCCTGCAGCTTTTCCAGGAGAATGCTATGGGAGATGGTGTCAAAGACTTTGTTTAAGTCCAGGTCCAGGACCAACTCCACAGCCACTTATGGATAACCTGGGTTTTCCTGTTCCTTTCATCATTCATCCCTGCTGCTGAAGGAACTGACCAGAACACCACCTGTGCCCCTGTCTCCTCAACCAATTTTTATCCCTTACATAAGCCCCAGGGAGGCAGCAGACTTCCCTGTGGGCTATTTCCAACTGGCACACAGGACCCTCAGTTCCCCTCAGCAGGGAGTCACCTACTACAACTACCCTTCTTTCCTTAATACCTGAGGTTGTGATCTGTCTAATAGATGGAGCACAACTGGGAAACCCTCCAGATAGATTTTTTTTTTTTTCTCTCTCTAGTGTCGTCTGCCTGACCCTCTATATCCAGGGCCTTGTACCTATTCTGTAAGGGATTGGGAGGGGATTCTTTTATCTCCCTGAGCAGAGACCCTTTTCCATTCCCCCCCATCTACTACATCTCCTCTTTCTACCTGAAAACAAGAGGGGCGGGGCTTCTCTGACTCCTGCTGAGCTTCCCTCAGGATTGGAAGGGTGTAACTCCATCAGTCTATTTCCATTTCACTCTCCCTAATACTCCTTGGCCTTTCCACTTCTTTAAACTCTGCCACCAGACAGAGCCGATCAGTCCAGTATGAGTCCCTAAGGAAACAGCGTTGTTTGAAACACCAGTATCTCAGAAGGTACCTGAAAGGTGCAGACTTGGACTTAAACTAGATGTAAAAGGCTGTGCCCTGTGAGTTAAGTCACCAAAGTTATTTCAGATCACAGTGGGGACCAGTGATTTCTTCTTAGAAAAGAAATGAAGGCGAAGCTTGGGCAGGTTTAAGTCATGTCTGAAAGGAGCGAAACTGCAGCTGCCCACCCGTGAAAGCCAAGGAGCACCCAAAGTGTGGGCGTGGCAACTGCCTGAAAAGGCTGTAATCAGGAGAAGAGACACTTTGCCAAAACAGTTCAGCTGCTTTCCCCGTCCCCTGATTGTTGCTTTAGTCAGCTGCAAGTTGAACTAACTTGTTCTGTCTTCCCCTTCTGCCTGAGACACTTTGTATCACTATGTCTTAAATAGGATGAAATGATGTTAAAACAGAGTAGATTGAACATGTTCAGATTATTTTATACTGTCATTCCATGGTAATTACTTCAGAACGTGGGAGCGAGAATAAAATTAGGAAGAGCGTAGTCATTCTGTGCTTTGTGTTATTGCCAGAAAAACATCCTCTGGGATTTCTTTGAAGACAAAAAGTCACAAAAGGGCAGTCCTAATTACTCTGATTGCAGTCGTAAGACAAGTCAGTAACTTGTAATCAGGTGTGGTCACTGTCAGCTGCCTGGTTTTTGTCTCATTGTAATATGGGTGTGATGGGTTTGCCTCCTTCTATTTCAAGTTGTCAGTTAAAATTCACTGTCACTGAATGCAGGTCAAAACCTATTCACTTAGAGGTGACTGTTCACTAATTAGTATTTAGATTCGGGCAGCTAAAATAGTCTTTTAAGTGAACAAATATTTGCATTGTAAAAAGCACCATGTAACTGTAGTAGGTAGCTGTCTTGGAAGTTCCTTAAGCAGCTCTGTTCCCTCGCTGTGGCATTTAAAAACACAGCTGGAACATGTTGATTATGTGGTGCAAAGCAAATTTACATAGTTGTCTATGCTGTGCTATTGTGTTGCATAAGCAGCTGGCTGTATTCACTACGTCTTGAGCATTTTGATAGCAACACATTCTATTTTAAACACATTTTCAATTCTTTGTTAAACAAAAATCAAGTATCACTGTCAGAAGACAATGCTTCTGTAGTTGTGTACCCCTTACTGAGGATTCATTTTCTCCTTACTATCCATGGTAGTTCCTCTTTTCGTGTCTTCTATGCCCTTAACCTTGCACAGAACATTAAGTTTCTCACTCAGTATTTATCAAGTCCTAAATTCCTGTGTCCCCTACCTATATTCTGTTAAGAGGTAGATCAGGCAGATAATGATACTTAATTTAAGTGGCACTTAGTTGGTGTTCTGTCCTCTTGAGTGGCACAGTGACAACCAGTTCTCCCCTGGTTTTAGGAACTTGCTATATTGAAGGTGCCTATGAGAGATAAGTTTAATTAGTCAGGTTCTTAAATTATGATAGTGGAAATTGATGGTCATAGCCAGGAGTTACCTAAAAAATAACAGTTAATATTTTTCACAATAAAATTGAGAGATTTGACTAACTGTTGGTATGTTTTTGTCAAGATTCTATCCCTTAAAAATGTATACATTTTTGTATTAAAAATTTTAAAAAAATCATACTAATTTTAGTTAAAATATATAAGATGCAAGCATGTATCTTAATTTCTTCAGAAATTTAATAAACTATGCAAATAGTGGACTGCTAGAGATTTTATTTTTTGATTGACAGCATATTTGTATATTGATTCTATCAGTTGCAACTGTTCTTTAATGTTACCACTTTTCAGTAGTAGAAGGATTTTCATATATTCAGTGTAGTGTTTATTCTGTTTGTTCAAATCAAGCAGTGTTCAGTACCTTACCTGAACTTAAATTCCAATTACTTTTCCCAAAGGTGCCAGCTTTAATTGACGCAGAAGAAAGTTATCTAGGCTTGTTGTGTCTTCTGATGTGGTCTGCTTAAGTTTGCCACAGGAATTTTCCTTCCTGTTAGGCAGCTGGCATAGAGTCATACAGAGAGGAAGGAGGGTGATCAAGAAGCCAAATTTGTGGCTTTGATTAGTATTCAGTTGTTGAATTTGATCTGATTGGTGCTCAGTATTTTTATATGGCTCTGTAATTCTTTGTCAGCTGTTGATTATCAGAAGTGTATCCAAAATCTGCATGCTGAAATGATTCCTGCACATGGAACTGGGATAACCTAGAGCATTACAAACTCTTCTTGCAGAGGAGACTAGTACTTCTCTCTCTTACCCTTCTATGACCACATATAATTCAGGAAAACGCAAGGGGATTTTGGACTGCCAAGTCCAAAGTCTGAAGATACCTATGCAGGGATGAAATGAAAGCTTGCATCTGGAAATTTTTTCGAACTTTTCGTCATTCAGCAAGAGCCTTGTTTCACCTCATTTCATGTTTTAGTCTTTTTAAATGATAAACCAAACCCACACTTTTCTCTCTCCAGGTCTCCTGCAAGCGCAGAATCTCTTAACGCAACTACCTCAGCAAAGCCAAGCCAACCTCCTGCAGTCTCAGCCAAGCATCACCCTTGCCTCGCAGGTCAGGCTTATTTCTACAGTTCATGAGTTGCTTTGGGGGGATTTAAACTCTGGCAAGTGAATGGACCCTTTGTATTAGTTACCTGAACAGATGTTGTAGCTATAATAGTAAATTTGTCTTTCTAAATAGTTCAGTTTTATAGTTCCCACTCCAATGTGCCTGTGTTTTCAGGCTTTAATGTTCTAAACTTTTATTTTTAGCTGGAAATTTTTGTGATTGATACCTTGAGTTAATGTAGAGCATTGTTTGATTTCCTGTAAGGTTTTCTTGGATAATCTTCAAATTTATGAAATTAAGAGCAGCAAGGTGTGGGCTACCTAAAAAAGCTCAAAAAGAGGATTACTGATAAGCACCTTTCTGAAGATTGCAGTGATGATCTACCTTTATTATAATGTGGTTATTTTGATACCATTGCTAAGTCATTGCCAGTCTTATCAGTTGCCATCTTTGAAAGTGAAAAGATTGTTAGAAATAAAATATTAAACTATTCTGTTAGTTATCTATTAAAATATTAGAGCTCTATCGTTAAGCTTTCAGACTGTAAGAAAAGCAATTTAAGGTTGCACATCCCCGTAAATTTAGTTGTGCTTCGCTCTGGGTTTTACTGTGCAGTTTAGTTTCATGACTGCATGCTGTTTCTCAAATACCATGTTATATCATGTGGTATCTTCCTGCCAACTTGGTTACATATAAGAATTTTCTAGTTTGCAATAACGTGTCTGAGTCTATCAGAGTCTTAGAAAACTACATTTTCTATTAGACCACCTGTAGTATTTTTCATGCACCATGTGGAAAATGGAATTTGTCTCACCTCTGTAGTTTATACCTCAGGTAGCAGCAGGATTCCTCACTAAGAATTACAGTTGGATTTTAAAAAATGTTAAAATACTAATAAAAAATAAAATTATGTAATGTGGGTGAAATCAGTAAAGACATTGCAGTAATTACCCACTATGATTAGTGTAAATTAAAAAATATTAAAAACCTTTAAGTGGGACACACGTATCTGCAGTCCTAGAAAGATCATATATGATTACATTATTTCTCAAGCAATGGAATTATAGAGCTTGACCTCCCTCTACCATCTGCTGTGCACTGCAAAACACTGCAGTAACCCAGGAGAAAAACAACATAACAGGCTATAAAGACTCAGCCCTGTGTAGGCCATTTCTTTGAGAAGAACCTTCTCTGTACCTTTGCATAGACTTTGCATAATACTGTAGTGCTACATAGACCTGAGGCTGTTCTTGTTTGGCCTGAAGGAGTCTGTAGTTTCAGAGCTGGGCATAGGACATAAAAAAGCATAAAATCACCTTTACTGAGGAACCTCAGCTCAACTGAATAGACTTCAACCAGAGCAAATGATTTGTTTCTGCATCTCAGTTCATCATGACTTGTAAGAAGGTAGAGTTATGCATTCAAAACACATTTCCAGTGTTCCTGTTGCACATAAAGCCTGAACTGTGCAATACCAGATATTTTGTTCACCTACTACTATTTTCCACAGTACTAATTTCTTTTTAGATACTTATTGTTGTTGCATAGCAAAATGCTCTGGTATGCCAATGTTCAGGAATAGTGAACCTCTCGTGGACTTCCTGGAAAATTAGTCTTTTATGTAGAAGAAAAATGTGACCTAAAAGGAATTATTTTCTGCACATTGCCTTTGCTTACTGTCACATATCACCAGTATGTTCATTCTTACTATTGCAACTATCAATAGAAGGGTTACAGGTAGATCTGGTTTTTTCATACCTGGAAGAGTTGAGTCAGTCACAAGAGTCAGTCACAAGGAATTAGAAAAAACTTAGCATGTTTGCTGCCCTTGTGTGTGCTCATTCTTCCAGGATTAAATAGGAGATTTGAGTCTTTTGGGCTGATGACAATCTGCCACCTCACACGAGCAGTAAATTCAATTTTAAAATGATTAAAAAGGGATGAATGCCAAGCTGGCTATGAATGTTAGAAGTGTATCAAGCAAGAGTGTTCAGCCTTTCTTTGAACAGCTTCTGCAGCAAATTAAAGTTGTAGGTTATCATTGAACATCTCTTCTTTAACTGGTTATGACAGAGCCTTTAAAAGGCTGTCATAGTGATAGAGTTTTCTGGATTGTGATTGCTCGTTCTGGAGAGGAATGTAAATAAACTGGAAGAACTTTCAGATTGCGGGAAATGTCTAATTCATTGATCTTTCTCACCAGAACATAACGTACCTTTTTTTTGAATTCAGTTTTTGTTGATTTTTTTTTTTAAATCTGATTTTCATCTTTTCCTTGCTATCCTAATAGCCAGCAACCCCAACACGCACAATAGCAGCGACCCCCATTCAGTCACTTCCACAGAGCCAGTCAACACCAAAGCGAATTGACACTCCCAGCTTGGAGGAGCCCAGTGACCTTGAGGAGCTTGAGCAGTTTGCCAAGACTTTCAAACAAAGACGGATCAAACTTGGATTCACTCAGGTGAGACTGCGTACCTTAGTGCCTGCCAGTGTGGAACCTGAGGTCTCATCTTTCAAGTCTGGAGGGAGACTGCAATTCTATCTTTTCCTAGGAGAACTTGCTTAAATAGGGTTATGCTCTGGCCTTTATGTAGGGGATTTCTAAGAAATAACAGAAAAAGCCATACATCCATCTTACTTCCCTGTTGGTTTTAAAGCATAGCCATTTTCCCAGCAGGGAAAAACGTGCATTTACCAGCTCCAGATGTCATTGCATGTGCACTATTCATTCTATAGGATGTGACATGAATGGGACAAAGCACTTTAAAGCTGCCTTCAGAAGTACAAAGTTCCAAAAATCATACAGCACAATTAACTGCTCTGTGTGTTTAAAAGTCTATCACATCTGTGCAGTTGCTTTGGATGTCAAAGGGTTTTTATCTCTCAAGTGTATTTTCCTATTAAACATCAATGATTTCTGTATTTAATGCTTTTGCTGAGGTTCCTAAACAAAACCTGAAAGGACTGTCACCTTTGAAGTTTTCTCCTTACAGAGGTGAACTGGAGTTGTGGTTTGTTTTCGTTTGTTTAAAAGCTCAGAAATACCCATAGAGCAGAAGAAAAGTAATCTTGAACATAGTGAAAATGGTTGAATGGAGAGCACAATTAAAAGTACAAAGTGCATTTATATGTTCTGTTATTCTGCTGAAGGGAAAAGCTGCTTGAATCCAGGAGTCCTTTCTTATTAATATCAAAATGAGATTTTTCCCCCCTGCAAAATTAAAATGTCTGTCCAGGTAAACAGTTAATCTTGGCAGGGTTCTGTGGTTAAGCATAAGCATGTTTTTGCCTAGAAGAAAGAGTATGCAAAAATGAAAGTATTCAAAAGTCTGAGCTCAGAGCAGTCAGTCCAACATACGTGATTTGTTCTCCCTCCAGAATATCTCTGCTCTAGCTGAAAGTATGTGCTGAAGTCAGATTTATTTTTCTGGCAAAGTCTTAAATGTTTCAAAAATCAAAGTTCATAATGAAAGTTCCTGGCAACATCTTAATTATAACTCAAGAACAGAATGTTCTTAGTCAAATGAAGTGCATTTTGCTGGCATGTGTGCCTCCTTCCCTCTGTTCTTTCCGCTAGAGGGAGGCACAGAAATACAAGTGATGGACACACACAAAAGCCCAAATAGAGCAGAACAGAATAGAGTAAAATACAATAGCTTTCCCATAGCCTGACTTAGGAGGTTCACGTGGATCTCTTGTTATTATGTTTAATCTGCCCTCCTGTGAGATGATTATAAAGGCTCAACTGGACTTTTTAAGTTATACCTTAACCCTTCTTTATTGACCTTGTTGTGAGTTTTCATGGTGAGGAAAAACGAACACAACTACTCAGGCTTACATTTCAGTATTTGCTTTTGAGATTAAAAAAAGGGAATCTTAAGAATGTGCTAAAATTGCATTTGGTCATTCCTATCCTACTCTGAGTTGGTATGTGTGAAATTAGACTGTTCTGATAACTTCTACCTAATTGCATAATTGGATGATAATTAGAGACCCTGATTACTTTGGTTTCCTATAGTTGGGTAAATAGACTGCTTTTCAGAGGATAAAAGAAATTTATTTCCAGTGGCACTGCAAGCTTTTTCAGACTCATGCCACCCCTACATCTCAAAAATAATTGTAAGATTTAGTTCGCATTGCAAACTAATCACTTACTACATTCTGTCACGTGAACAATATAGCAGGTTTTGAATTTCATCAGTTCTATCTCTTCTCCCACCCTGAAAAGTGGGTGATAGATTTAAATCCTTCTGTTTGTTTCCCTTAAAAGTATCTCCATGTTTGACATACAGAGATACAATGAACCTACTGCATCTTAGCATAATTGCAGACCTGTGACTAGTTGCTTAGTCTAATTCAAGCTACATGAGTGTACATTTTGGACAATGTTATTTTTATTCTGTAAAAGATATTGCCTCTGCTAGTCCATCTGAGCTTCTTAACAGATCAGTACACACAATGATGTACCTTATAATCGGTTTCAGTTCATTACCAGAGCTTCATTCAACCTCCAGAGTAGATCAGATGTGTATACAGTGCCTTTATACTCTTTATGCATTCTTTTGGTGGTCTTTCCCAATATACAAAATTCTCATCCCTGTATGTAAATACCTTTGCCTACAACTGAAATGCTGCCACCTTTTGGCATTGACAAAGAAATGGCTAACTATTAATTTTAAATCAGATGGCAAATGTTAGTAAGAACAACATAAATATCAGAATTAAATTTAGTTGGAGAACTGGAGCAAATTTCATAACTCTTTCCTGCCAAGACATAAATCAACTTATCTCTAAAATGGTTTACGTAGCCAGGTTTTCTTCTTCAGAAGAGCATCCACGTTACTCCTCTTGGAATGATTTATGAGTTTTAAAATGCACAGAATCCTGGCATATAAGTAGAGGTATAAATGTGAATTCCCACGTTTCCTCTGATTGAAGGGCACACAAACCAATTGTTCTGATCCTCTTCTAGGAAGGAAATTGTTTTCTTTGCACAACCTACGCAATTTATGAAGCTTATCAAAGGTTGTTTTCTTCTTCACTTGTGTGTGGCCACTTTGCATGCTGTTGGTGTACTCACACCAGACTGTAGTTGTGGATCTGACCTAAAAGAAAAGCAAGCTTTATACACAGTCCAACTAACCTATTTGCAATTAAACTCCACTAACTAATTGCTCAAGCTTTTCAGTCTCTTCTTCTAGACTTCTCATACTTTTTCTGGTGCTAAAAAATAAAAATCTAAGTAAAACTACTTTAGACCAAATAGTGTACTTGAAATATAAATACACTTTTTTCAAAGGGTAGGACCTTTCAGCTTTAGAACAAAGCAAGAAAATCCTATAGTGTTATTAATGGCTACAATCAAGAACAGATTGATTTTTTTCTTCTAAACAAAACTTTCAAAATATGTATTACATAGATAGGTAGATATATACATATATGTTAGCATAAGCAGAATGTCTCATAGCTACCTAAAACTGGGTTTTGAAAAGAAATAACGGATATAAAGAGATGAGCATCTGTCTGTAAATCTCCTGAATAGTTTTTTGGCAGATGGGTAATGATAGTCAAGACTACAGTTAATCATTATTTGGAATGGTTCAACTTCTTGTCTGCTTTGAAATGTCTATCTGTTGGGGAGAAGTTTGGCTTGAACCTTAGAAGATATTATAAGTTCAGATAAGAATATTTCTGCATCTGTTTAACTGTGATACGTGTTTGCAGACATCTTTTCAAAAGTGTTTTCTAGTAATTTGGGAACATGAATTCACTGCATTTCTGCTTATTTGAACTTTTTTTCCTTCTGTGTGAAATATGCAGAAACTTAAATCTACTTTTAAAGAGAGCTTGGCCTTTTTTTTATTTTAAATAACCAAGAAAAAAAATCACAACTTAATATTCAGTGGAATGTGCTGCTCATTGATAATGTTAAGAAGACAAAGCATCAGGGATTTCCTGGAAAGAGTTACATGGTTAAATTGACTGAGGTTTGACATTTCTCTATGATTATTGCTTTAGCATGAATCTTGGTAGCGCTGAGAAAGCTTCTGTGAAACTGAAATCCCACACAGCAGTGGAGTCACTAAGAGAACACAAGAATGTGACAGGATTCCTTGCTTTGGAAGTGCCTATGTCAGTGAATCCCTTTTTTCTCTTTCTTTGTCCAGGGTGATGTTGGGCTCGCTATGGGCAAACTCTATGGAAATGACTTCAGCCAAACTACCATCTCTCGCTTTGAAGCCTTGAACCTCAGCTTTAAGAACATGTGCAAGTTAAAGCCACTTCTGGAAAAGTGGCTCAATGATGCAGGTGAATGAGTCTGTGTATTTCTTCACCAGCCTACCAAAGTCAGTAGGATTCTGAAAAACTGCTTCATTGGTGCCCTTATGGTTTTATGAAGCTGCCAGTCTTTGTCACTGTCCATGGGACAAATAAGGGTGTAGAAATAAGGGTCCATGCTTCCCTTTTGATGTGCCTGTATGCATCCAAAATAGTTCCAGTATGAAGTTCCAGAAATGTGTTCTGCAGACAGATGAGTAATTGCATGGGATGAGGTACAATATGCGTCGTGGTTTCCCTCCTTCATGTATGTTAATGCATATAACTTCTAATCCGCTTCCAGCTTTCTTTTTCAGATGTGTAGTAGAGAAAGGTTTGCATGATTCGTTGTTTCAGTAGGCAGAGCTTATTGCATCCATCTCCTTCCACACCCCTATGTGCATTCTTTTCATCTCTCTCCCAGAATCCATATAAATATTCTCTTTCTCCCAATAAGAAGAGTTTTTTGTGGGTTAGGTTTTGCTTTTTCCTTTCCATAATATTTTTTTTCTGGGATATAAGTTATTCATTATGCCAACGTTGGTAGTGTTCTTTTTTTTTTTTAATCTCCCATCAGCAAAAGGAGCTTGTACGGTGGTGCTAGGTGTCAGGATAGAAAGTCTTCAGGAGTTCTGCCAGCCTTTTTTTCTTCCAAATATGCAACTGTACATGGTATAAAACTGATGGGTATGTCAAACAGATGGCAGGGATGGTGTATGCCTTCCTATTTTTACCAAAATGGAGAGAGCTTTATGCTGGTACCTACAGTATTCTCTGAAATTTTGAAAGTAATTGAATGCAGTGTTGAAACTTTGTCCTACCTTGAGAAAAGGAAGTGTCATTCTGTTGTGCTGACAGGGGTTATCTTTAGGTATCTAGATCTGTGATAGAAAATGTATTACTTCACTGAGTGCTCTAGTGCACAGGGCAGTGATTCCCAAACCTTCCAGCAACCCTGGATGAGTTCAGTGCTGCAGTGTCATCATTTGCTTTTCCTGCAAGCCTGAAGAAATACTTGGATCCGTAAAGTTAAGGACTCTAAATAGTGTTGGGGTCCTTCACAGCTTGAAAGTGGGGAATGGTTGTCTCTGGTTCTGACTCAGTTTCATGAAAATCTTTGGGAAAAAAGATTCAGATTACTTCAAAAGCTATTTATTTTACCTTTAGGTAAAAGCAGGCAGGAGAAGCATACCAGTTCCTTCCATTACACTACATGGGAGCGTTGTAGGATTTTCTGTCACAGAATTCAGCTTGTTCTATTGGGGTTTCAGTCTGAGGAAGGGTTTCAGCACATTTATGAGTGCCATTACTTGCCCATTTGAGTCAACCAAAATGATGTTAGGCATTGTGAACTCTGACATCTGCTTACCACCCACAAACCCCAGGGCAGTGAGGGAACTCCAGCAATAATTAATCATTTGGTTTAAATTCCCTGCAGGAACTTGCTGGTTGGTTGTATTGCACTTCCTGCTACAGAGTGGGGTTAAGTGTTCTCTCTTTGTTGCTCTGTGAAGCCAGGAAGACAGGATTAGGGGTTAACAGGTGAAGCTAAGGAGGGGGAGCTGCTCACTATGTAGACTGTTTGGTAGCACTGAATATCTGCTAAGCTGTCCAGAGAGAAGAGTTTGAATGAACACTGTGAAGCTGACTGTGAACTCCTCTTCCTCTAGTGGGTAAAAGAAAGTTCAGGCTGCTCAGATTTCATAATTGCCTGTGACTTTCAGCTCTGGCTTGTGGATATCAGTTACTGCTGTTTTTCTTTAAACTGGGACTTGCAGTGAGTGGATGTGGAGTGGAGTGAGGTACGCGAGACAAACTTTGCATAGGTGTTATAAAAGGGGTAACTTGGTAGTGTACAGGAGCAGAGAGCATCCTCTGGACTTACTTATAGCTTTTTAGTTTCAAGTAGATGTTGTAATTTGTAGATACAATGATTAATGCATGTGATCTTTGTAAATCTCTCTATATTTGGAATAGATACAGAGTGGGTCTTAAAATACCTTGCACAGATGAAGAACACTTGCATTAGACTGCGCTGCATTCAGAGAAAACCTCCTGATCTGTGTTACTTTCTTCTTTTTCAGAAAACCTCTCATCTGATTCAACTCTCTCCAGCCCAAGTGCCCTGAATTCTCCAGGGCAAGGGATCGAAGGCTTGAACCGTAGGAGAAAGAAACGCACCAGCATAGAGACCAACATACGTGTGGCCTTAGAGAAGAGTTTCCTGGAGGTCAGTGATCCTGTTGCTGTGCTCAGCCTTTGAAGAAACTTTGGTTAGCAATTAGAGCTGTTAGAGTGAGCCCATTACTGTGCTATTTAGGAAAGTGTTAGCACTAAACAAGGTAAATACAAAAGCTGTGCCAAGAAGCCCACATCAATGTCTACTTCACTTTAAAAAACAAACCCACACAAACCCCTTCAAAAAAACTCATTGGTTCTTGCAGTTTGCTGACTTTTGTCATTTTGTATTCCAGTATACTGAGCAATAGATGTAAACATTCCCCTTTCTGAGGATGGATAAATGGGGCAACATTCTGAATATATGTAATGTGAGGTATTTAGCTGGAGGGCAGAAGCACCTGTTATGGTTTGTCTCTCCTGTACCACTGATCAGGTTCTGGACCTAAATCACCTCATCCAGATTTCTGCCTACTGAAGAAGAGGCTACAATGTAAAACCTCCGAAGGTAATTTCACAGCTTTTCAAGTACTGTTTCCTTTCCTCAGAACCAAAAGCCTACCTCGGATGAGATCGCCATGATAGCTGACCAGCTAAACATGGAGAAGGAGGTGATCCGCGTTTGGTTCTGTAACCGGCGCCAGAAGGAGAAAAGGATCAACCCACCCAGCAGTGGTGGAACCAGCAGCTCGCCCATCAAAGCAATTTTCCCTTGCCCAACCTCACTGGTAAGAATTAAGAACTATGTTGGCAAAGTTCACTCAAAGAGGTAGTTCTACTGTGCTCACTATGGAAATTACACATGCTGCACCTTCTTTGTATAGCAGACTTGTTCTCACATATTTAGATTTTACTGGCATTTTAAATATTCCACTTGGATACTGTCTAAGATAATACTTAGAAATCAGGCATTAGTCAGGCCTTCAGTGTGCATGCTCTATTTAGTCAGCTCATAAACAAATATTCTGACTGGCAGGTTTGCACTTGGGTTTATTGCTTTGAACTTATTTCAGTTGCTATCTCCAGTTTATATCTGGACCTTCCGTCTAACCCAATTGTTTTTTTGCAAAATAATAGTAATAAAAAAATGTTTAACAGCTCTGCCACTCCCCTCTTGTTTTGACTGCTCTGATAAGTGAATGAGCAGCAGTAAAATGTACCATGCACTGGAACAGATTGCCCAGAGAGGTTGTGGAGCTATCTCCTTGCTGGAGATATTCCAGAACTGTCTGGATGCAATTTTGTGCCATGTGCTCTAGAATAACAACACTGCTTGAGCAGGGAGGTCGGGCCAGGTGACCCACTGTGGTCCCTTTCAGTCTAAACCACTCTGTGATACTGCATCATTTGGAGACTTACATGATGCAAATCAATTGATACCATTGTTGTCACTTTTAGTCAGAAATTACTAATATAAAAAAAGACATGGAACAAAGAAACAGTTTAGATAATACTCGTGTAATTAATTTCCCACACTTGTATTTGCCTCAGGTAAACACAAACTTCATGAAAATAAGAGTAACAAAACACATGCATCAAGGTTCCTTCAGCATCTTTGCTACCAATGCCCGTGGAGGTCTGTTTTCATAAATAGAAACAGTAGCTATTAGATTTCATAGTAGCTATGCTAATAGGAATGTGGTGGAATTAATATAGCCTGTAGCTGTCCTTTTGTAGTATTTATTCCACCGTCATCACCGTAGTAGCTAATACCTTCCAGTACTTCATTAAACCATTAATTTTGGTGATGTGTTATTCTTTCCCCTCATCCTTGTCTCAGGGTGTGTGCATGCAACCTTTTGTTTCAGGGGAAGGGATGTGTTAAATGTACTTAGTCTCTTTTTCCATTACTGTTTATTTTTTCACCAATTGCAAAGCAAGGTTGCATGCCTTGATGCCAAAACAGGGAGATTTATGATAGTGCGTTCTAGTAACTGTGCAGGTTCACTCAGACTGCAACTTAAAGAAACCTGCCTACAGAAATTTCCCTGTTATTATAATCTGCCATTGTATGTAAGAAATTGAACCACAGTCTCCCTTTCATCAGTGATGTTTCACGAAGCATTTTCACTCATTGTAAACTTCTCTTAAGACTGTGCTACGACTCAAATGGATGTTCCAGCCCTGCTGCCCCCAGCCTTCACTGAGACTGTGTGCTTTGTTGATTCCTTGTGTCAGCTCTGGAGATTGTGTCCATAGGATGCTTGGGCTTAGTCTACTTGTTTGACTGCAAATTAGCCATGTGAGGAACAATGATGAATTTTCCATATGGCTGGATAACCAGTGTGACTTGCAGCCTGGCTGCATGAGGGCCGGGGCCCTGAAGCAGGATTGGAGGGGAAGACCTCTTTTGGTGGCAGCCTGGTTTTGCATTGGCTGAAGTCAGTCACTGTGACCACGGGGTGAGCTGTATTAATTCTAGGTCATTCCCTGCCCTGAAATATGGATTGTGACCTTGGCCTTAACTGCTGGGTGGACAGATGACAGATGTGATGTCTGGGCTGTGTTAGCGGGAGGTGTGCTGTGTATCTAGCTCCTGTTTATCTTATACATTATTCCAGATAGGCAGAAAGCTTTTAGATCTGTCCCAGTTTCCCCAGTCTTGTTTAAAATGCATGAAGCATTTGACTCCCTATAAGAGGATACGCAGCATGAGAGATATTTCTCTGATAATAAACTTAAGGTAAGAGAGGGGAAAGGAGGAATGTTTTAGCCTATATCCTTGGCTACCTTCTCTTGGGCAATTCTAAAGGATTCATTTCTCTCACTGATGTATAACAGCCTTCAAATATTACTGTTGGACACCATTTCTTGTCCATAAAAAGTCCTTTCTCTCCTTATATTTCATTTTTCCTCATAAGCTGGTTTCTCCAGCCTTAAATCTTTCATGTTTATTTGTAATGTCTTCAATTTATTGCAGCTTGCTTGTAATAAGCCATCCACAAGTGAAAACTGCATTTGTATGTTTTAAAATGCAGAGATCCTTCCTCTGGCACAAGGAAACTTATCAAAGTAAAGCTTATAGTTTGGTCAAGTAAAAGTGAAATGTTATTCTTCTTCTCCATGTAAACACATTACCCTAAATACCTTTGGTAATGCTGAGCATTTACATAATTTCATTATGGAAAGAGACGTGGAGCTGAAAAGATGTTTAAACAGGAAAAAAAAAAGCAGAAAAATGTATTTTGTAACTGTTTCTGTAAGAGTGACTGTTTAAACCAGGTGCTCTCCTTAAGTGGAGGCAGAAAGAGAGATAGAGAGAGAGCTAACTTGCAGTCTTGAGACCGTGTGGATATATCTCCTTTCAAATACAGAATTATTAAGAATAAAGATATTGCTAGTAATTAGAGAAGGTACTATGGTTGTTCCACTGAATGATAAAGTAATGGAATTACAAAAATGTGAGTTCATGTGCGGTGTTCCATGATAACTTCCTCAGCAGAGGATGGGAAGAAAGAAATCCAGCTCTAGTAGCTAACTCTGTCTGTCTTTGAGCAATTGAGCAGTTTTATTTGGTTTTGACCTCCAGGTGGCAACCACGCCAAGCCTTGTGACTAGCAGTGCAGCTACAACCCTGACTGTCAACCCCGTGCTCCCTCTGGCCAGTCCTGCTGTAACTAGTCTGTCAGTCACAGGTAAGGGCTGATTTCTCCTGACGCTACATCAACCTCTACCGGTTTTCCCTTTTTATTCTTAAAAAAATCATTCCGTGTTGGTCATTGGTATCCCAGGACATTTGTTCTTGGGATACCTGTTCATTGACAGGAACAATTGTTCCTTGTTATTCTACTAGGAAACTTTTGTCTTTGTGACCACTGAGTTGACTTTTCTGGGGATAAAATCACAGGTGATGCTGAAATGAAATACTTTGTATTCAATTGCTGGCTTCTAAGACCTCCTTGGCCTTCTGCTGGGAAGTGTCACTTCATTGTAGTCTGAGCTTTTCATTTGAACCCCTGGTGCTTTGTGGTACTACAGAAATGTGTGTTTGTGCCTCTGTCAGTTGGGTATGCAGCTCTGTTCAGGTGGGCGGGGGTTTCTGTTTAGTTGTATCTGTGTTTTGTACTCATCTAACCAGAATCAATCTTCCAGGCACAACAGAAACCACCTCTAACAACACGGCAACAGTGATTTCAACAGCACCTCCAGCTTCTTCAGCAGTGACATCACCTTCCCTGAGTCCTTCCCCTTCTGCCTCAGCCTCCACTTCAGAGGCATCCAGTGCCAGTGAGACCAGCACAACACAGACAACCTCCACTCCCTTGTCCTCCCCTCTTGGGACCAGCCAGGTGATGGTAACGGCATCAGGGTTGCAAACAGCGGCGGCAGCTGCATTACAAGGAGCTGCACAGTTGCCTGCAAATGCAAGTCTTGCTGCCATGGCTGCTGCAGCAGGACTAAACCCAGGCTTGATGGCATCCTCACAGTTTGCAGCTGGGTAAGGATGAATTTTGCACACCTCTTCTTGGTGAGGTGAACAGAAGAGGGAAGGAGGATTCTTGGGTTAAGTTGCTGTTACGTGTCACTGTTTCCTGGTGATTCCAGTGCCATTTATCTCAAATTCAAAGGTTTACTCACAGGTGGTAATTGGCCATTCCCATCAACATGCACAGATGTTGTGTTCACTTTAAAGATGCGTTGTAACAACGTTATTTGATAAGTCATTCGTCTACTGCAGAGCTTAAGATCTGCAACTTACCTCTGAATCGTAGCATGTGTCCAACTAATTGTGAAATGGAGAGAGGGCCTAGACCCACTTCACCCCTCTGTATTCATTTCTCCATCATGAGCAAGAAATTGTAAAAGATGCACGATGATGTATTGTTGAAGTTGTAGGTTTAAAAATGTTGCTCAGACACATGACTTTTGGTGTCTTTAATTCCTCTTGGTTTACAGATTTCTTATCTGAATTTGGAAGAGGATGATAGCTCTCTAACAAGTGACACTTTCCCCAAAATACTCTACAAAAATATTTTACAGCAACAATCAATACAAGTCTTGTATTTGCAGTGCCTGTACTTGTCACTAACCACTCATGGAGGAAAAACTAAAATCAACTAAAAATACCCCTTAGTTTCTGGTCTTTCCTTCATCCTCTTTTTTTTAATTTTAAATATGATGATGTATTTATGAACAGTGACAACCTTTTCTTAAAAGTAACACTCTTTCCCTTTTCCCCTTCTTCCATGATCTTGCTTCCTGCAGAGGTGCCTTACTCAGTCTCAATCCAGGGACATTAGGTGGTGCTCTCAGCCCAGCCCTGATGAGCAACAGTACACTGGCAACTATTCAAGGTCAGTAGTGTTTCTATTAATGCATCTCTGTCATACAGCTTCAGTTTACAGGCTTTGTTTTTTCTCCCAAAGAAGAACACTGACTTCTCAGCACTGGACATAAATTTTATAGGAGTAAAGGTTTTACAAAATTTAAATGTTCCAATGCATTCTGCATGTCACAGAGATAAGAGCAGGTACAACTACAGAAGAGGAATTAGATGTATATGATTTTAGGGTGATTTACAGGAGGCACTTAAGATATTAATGTGTTCTAGAATTTATTTTGTTCTCCTTCCCTCATTGGCCTGTATCCCTAGCAGGTTAGAGATTTGCTTTTTATAGCTCTTCTCTAGTCTGCTTGAGCAGACTTGTGCTGTTAGGTCTGTTAGGAGGGCAGTTCTCAGCAAGTCTTGATCCTGAATTCTTGTCCTCTTACGTATTTAAAAAGAACCTACAAAAAAGATCCTGCCTCTTAAAGTCCTTACACAGAACTTGAAAAAGATTAATCCTCGTTCAGAAGAGTAAAAATTTATTTTGGGAGTGCCAGATGTGGCCAGAAGTTACCACTGGCTTCAGCAAGAATTGTTCTCAGTTCATAGTCTCTCATAGTACAAGAGGTCTAGCTAACCTGTCTGCTCAAATATCCCCTAAATTAGCTGAACAAATCTTGTTTCCAGGTTACAAGAAAGAACCATTTCATAAAGCGTCAGAGATAAATTTAGGAGATCATAATCTAAAGCAGACTGAACGCTAGGCCGGTGAGAGTAAGTTGTAACAGTGGTTGGTTATACATCAGCATTCAAAATGTTACACCCAAGGTTACATGACCTTCTTCATGTTGTGGTAGCTGTCATTTCACATGAACACTCATCTCAACCCTTTCCAGTGCAAGCTGTTGAATGTACAGGCTCTCTTTGGCAGGAAACATAGACCACTGTTGTGCTTAAAGATCTGAAGAAAGGCACAATGGGATTAGCTTAAGAGCAAACAACAGAGGCATTTTAGTATCTGCAAGGTCTTGTCTGATTGTTATTTAAAAAATAAACAACCTATGGTGAGACAACTGTCATTAGTGGTGCAGAGAGCAAATCAGAGAAAGTAAAATGCAGAGCCTCCTTGCTTTTGGGCACATTTTGCGTTGTTGCTTACTGCTGATGTTATCTCCTCCCTGCTCGATTTTCCCTTTTTTTAGCTCTTGCGTCTGGTGGCTCTCTTCCAATAACATCACTGGATGCAACTGGAAACTTGGTGTTTGCCAATGCTGGAGGTACCCCTAACATCGTAACTGCCCCTCTGTTCCTGAACCCTCAGAACCTTTCTCTGCTCACCAGCAACCCAGTTAGCTTGGTCTCTGCAGCTGCAGCCTCCGCAGGGGCCTCTGGACCAGTCGCCAGCCTTCACTCCACCTCCACCTCAGCCGAGTCCATCCAGAACTCTCTTCTCACAGTGGCCTCTGCGAGCGGGGCCACGTCCACCACCACTACTGCCTCCAAGGCACAGTGAGCCGGGCTGAGCTGTGCTGCCAGCAGCCTGTTTCACTGTGCGGTGGGATTGGCTGCCAGCAGGGTTTATAAACTGAAAATGCGATGGGCATCCTCTCACCGTGTTGCTGGGGACGAGAGAGAGAGAGAGAGAGAGAGAGAGAAGGAAACAAAAAAATATAAAAAAAAACCACAAAAGCAAAACAGGAAGGATTTAAAGCTGGGACAGACATTTGCCTAATTTTATAATAAACACTGTCTTTTCAGGATCGCTTCATGGATCGGAGAACTTTCTAACCAAAAATGTAAAAAAACAAAACAAAACAAACAAAAAAAAAACCAACCAAAAAAAAAAACACACACAAAAAAAAAAAAAAAAACCACAAAAAACAAAAAACCACAAAAACACAAAAAAAGTGAAAGGACTACTTATCATTTCCAGCAGTCACAATGACAAGTTAAGGTGGGTTATCAGTTCAAACATAGGAAGGGGATTTCTTGGTTCTTTTTGGTCTAAATATCTTTCTTTTTTAATTATCATTGTATAGGTCTGTTGTACAGGCCATTATGTCATACAAGGTGTTTATAATCGTATCAATCATGTTGGGGGTTCCTTTCTTAACTGGTACAATTTAGGCAGGCCTGTATTACTGGTGTATCTCTATTATTATTATTATGATTATTATTATTATTATTTTTATATATATAGTTTGGACGTGTTTGTCTTTGCTCCTGGATTATTTTCAGTGAGCTCCCACACCACGGGGGGAGGGCGGGGGGGTGGAGAGGAGGAATGGAGCACAAATAGACTTTCTGTCCTAACCTTCTGGGAATGTTCTGAACAGTTTCCTCATCCTTGAATTTGTCTAATGCCCACTTGTAGGGGTCAGAAGGACTTCCCTCCATCGTCTGTGCAGGAAGCTCAGTGTTGCAGCAGAGATCATTGTGTGCAAACTTCCAGGCTGGCCTCTGCTTTTTAAGCAGAGGTAGGAATTAGTTCCAAACTGCAGTTCTCTCAATTATTTAGACAAAGTGGCCAAATTCTGCTTTGAGCTTTGTGTGCTTGGCTCCTTTCACTTCAGAGAGCGGGATGTGACCTCCTAGTGCAGGTTGTGTGACATGGCAATGGCTCTTCTGTTCCAGCGATTTCCTTTGGCTGTGCAAGAGCACACATAAATGCTTAAAAAATGTCAAATTACCCAGGCTAATTGGCAGTACGTAAAGCAAATTTACAATCCTAAATTTTCACCAAGTGAGTTGGCACAGGACTTCAAAAGGTTAGATTCTCCCTGTTCATAGCAATATGCCTTTTCTGATGCTTCCAACGTCGTATTTAGGAAAAAATTTCTTGTAAAGGAGCGCTTCTGGCTGCCAAATGCAGAAGCCAAGAATGTGGGAGCAGAAGTTGCCATTGTTGATGCCAACACAGCTCTGGGGCGTTGCACACACCTGAGTGATCTCGTGTGGTGTCTGAACTGTGGCGCCGCTCGCTGAGTAAAACCAGCAATAAGCGTCTCTGACAGGGGCGTCGGGGCTCGCCTGTCACTGAAACTTCCTTTGCAAGGTCGGTTCTGATCCGTGTAGCAAAGGATATTTTCGTGGATGAGGAAGAGGTAACAAACTGTACAGAAGTTAGATCCCTATATTCTTAAATATACAATCTAGTACCTGAACCAAAAAAAAAAGATTTTTAAAAAGAGAAGACTGGATCACTGCAATGGAGTTCACTTTGAACTTTCCATTCCTGATGGATTTAAAGGTTTCTGCCACGTGTACAAAACTAAATTACTTTTAACCAGTGAGGATATTAGAAGAGTCCCTTTCCCACCTGCCCCACTTTCTTTTGTCACCAGAGTGTCCTAAAATAATGAGCTGATGCAGCTATATTCATTATGTTGATGATTCAGGGGGATCCTGGAGCTTCTCATCCAAGATCCAGAAGGCAGCAACTTTAAACTCTACATATGCTTTGGTTTGTGGCCTGAGCATGTGGCATTTGTGTTTGCACTCAAGTGGCAGAACCCCTTATCTCTCCCCCCACCACCACGGTTTTGCTCTGTTCATCTCTAACTCTCCACCTTCCTGTTTTACTGATATTTAAATCAATTACCCCTGAAACTTCAAAACTAGAGAACTGCAAGCAGGGAAACTAACAAATGTCCGTCCACTGTTTCTTATGTGGTTTTGATTTTTTTATGTTTTATTTTTTTAAAACTAAGCTTGAACCAAAGTCAATTTCTAGCAAGCTGCTGTACTAATGGACTAGTTTGTATAAGTGCAGTTCAGATGCAGAGAGGCGATAGATGCTACTGACAATTTCTTTTTCATTTGTCTTTTGTTTTTATTAATTTTATATAAAAGTTGCTGCTTGTTTTTAATCTTTTTTTTTTTTTTGTAATTTGTGTTATCCTTGGGGCAGACTCTTAACTTGATTTTAATTTGTTTTCTTTTATTTGATATGTAAATAGAATGGCAATGTCAGAGGATTGTTAATCCAACAGGTCCCACCTTTATTCCCCCCAGTATGGATGAATCTAAGTATTTTTTACGTGTGTCTGTGTCTTCAGGCTGTGTGGGAGACTTTTAGGGCTATGAATAATACTGCAAAAATGGAAATGGCCCACAGTAATATCTTCAGAGCAGTAACAGATATAGCTGGGTGAGCTTCAGGGAGGCAGGGGAAGAGTAGGAGGTGCTGGTACCCGCTATGTTGCCTGGAGGCCATAGCATGGACTATAGTTTCTACCAAAGGAATGCCAAGTCCCTGGGACTTGTCTTCAGTGAAGTAAGAGGATGGGCAAAACTGCAGCTATAGCTTTGGTTCCTTGCTCTGAAAGTTCCTGCTTACTTCCAATGCCTGTGCAAAAGTACAATGTATCAGGAAGCTGTTTTTTATTAAAGGGAGGATACTACTGGTCTTTTCTCCAGTGTATCCTCTACTCCCTAAGGGTTTTGTGGCAGGGTGGGGGAGCATGGTCCTTGCATATGTCTAGGAAATACAAAGAAAGGTGGGCCTTAAATCAGTGGAAAATCCTCTCTCCAGAGTTCAAAGAGACTGTGCCATTAGCTGTCTGAATGAGTTTTCATGTCCCATTCTTGCTGGTTTGTGGTTTGTGGGAGAGAGTCTTGTTGAGTACATATCTGGAACACTAATGCAGCTTGGATGGTTTATTTATTATAAAAATCTGCTTTTTTTCCCTGACTACCTTAGCATTGGTCACATGGCTTTGGTGTGAGCACCTTATACCCCCTTACCCTCCTCCTGTCTACCCCATCACCCTCTCTGGGGCCCAGATTCCAGGGAATTTCTTTGCCAGTCTTTTTCTGAGAGAAACTGGAAACTCAGTAACCACATATCCAAGAAAGAGCTTGGGTTTGCTTGCAGAAGCTGACATACTACTCAAACAGCACATATCCCATGGCATCCATTGCCAGTGTGCTCTGATTCATTGTCCTAAAACATCCCTATGACTGACTGTCATTCCTGGAGCCTGCTTTTTGTCCCTATCAGTGTTTTGATGGATGCTGGCTAGCTCTGGTGTTTTGGTGAAATGTGGAAATCAGGTTGGCAATGAATGTACATCTGCCTAGTTAGAGCACATGTGCTCCTTCAGAGCATGAAAAGAGTATAAGATCATGTACTATAACTTAGCAGAAGTTTCCTTTTAAATCATAATCATGCTGGCAGCAGAAATTGATGTGTATGAACAGAAACAATAACAATTGTATACAGGCCCAGTAAATATGATCAGAAGGAATTTGATGGTGTTGTTGGAAAAGGATAATAGCATCTCTTTTTCAGAGCTCCATGTCTCTGTATTTAAAAGTGAGAGGGTTGCTTTTCATAGTTACAATCATGTCACAGTACCCATGCAGGAAAAGAGAAAGCAAAAAACCCTCTCATTACAGATGAGAACAGTTAGCTCAAAAAGCAAGAGATTTACAGAGGCACAAATACAGAAGGTCAAGAATAATTTAGAAAGTGGCTTCAGGAGGAGGTGTAGCCTGGTGATGGCATTTTTTTCTGATGTTAAGAAAAACATGTTTTGCTTTAGCACACTTTGGCTTTAGCATACTTGATCTCCTCAGAACACAATAGTTACCATAGAATGATTTATGAACAGCCCTTAGAAAGTACACACAGATGTGGCTGCTTACAATAGTTTAAACCTCCTTAAGAGGATTTATTTTGTTTCTGAGTTACTGTACAGTATGTGTTAGTCTACATACATTTTTATCATGTTACTCTGAGATGGTGTGTATGTACATATACACTTCTCTTGGAACTATGACCTAATGTTTAATGCCACTGTGAAGACACATTTCTGCAGTTGACTTAGTAAAGGATGCAGCAGTGTTAATTCCCTAACTCTCTGCACATTCCTGCAAAGCAACATTCTTTAAAACAGAAATTCTCTCTTTTTTGTTACAAATGGAGCAGCACAGCCATTACAGATATTAAACCAAAAATAACATCTGATTTACCTTAAGTATTAATTAATATTTTCTTAGATAAAGGATCTTAGAGAGACAAGTAGCTTCTCATGATCATTAGAGTGCTTTAGGTCAGACAGAGTAGTGCATCTGCTCTGAGCTTTCAGTGATACTTGTTGTCCAACTGGAAACTTAAAATTTGGATCTATTTATTGCCATGTTAACTTTATGAAGAATCACTGTTCTCTATTCATGTTCTGTTCGAAATGGTTAAAGAATGTTTATCCACAGGGCCTGGGTATCCCTGTTGCACGTACACCTGACTGTTGCCTAGAGTGGAGTGTTACCAAAGGAGTAAGCTGGACTGCTGCACCCACTGCATTCTCACACAGCCAACTCAAATTCCTTTGTGTTTTTGCAACCAGTATATCTTACCTGTCCCTCCCAAAGTACTATAGCAATACACAATTCAAGATACCTACCTTGCACAAGTTCTACCCTTTTCAGTCGTTGAATCTCCTGTCGCTGCTTGTGAGTTTTTCCTCTTCTTTCCAGCAGGGAAGTCCCCTAAAATACTTTAAAAATATTTGACAGAGGAGGATTTGTGGAAAAGTTGCTGGCTCATGGTTTGCCATTTCTTAAAATGTTTATGTCTTTGTGATCTGAACGGTACCTGGTTCCCTCTGAGTCAGTGCAAGCAGTTTCACTGCTTTTGGAA